CTTGTGTCGTGACACATCTGGCGACGTGCGAACATCCGCGCGACGTCCCAGACTCAATCATGTCTAGGGGACTAGTTGCCAAACGCTAAGCTTAGGTATGTGCTGCTTGCACACTAGTGGACGTATGATGTCACATCAAGCCGCCGTTGTTGAACAATGGCCCATTATTCATCCTGGTAGTACAACGGGGTACACGTTGTACGGACAGCCCAATAGGGATTAATTCGGAATATATAGACCACCCAAGTCGTAGTTAGCGACTCGATATAATTTTCAAGTATGAGGTCCTTATATTTTCGCGAATATGCATATAATGACACATGTTTGTTCGATATAAAGGGTTGCTAAAATGCAATTATGCAGGTGGAATGGTGGGTACAAGCGGCAATCTGCAATTGAGGCAGTATATCGATGTAATAATACCGATTCCACGCATTTTTTGGGCCATTCTGGCAGTGTATTGGCAAGGCCAAACTGCATTATAATGAGGCGATCAAAGCATGTTGGAGCACTCAGGTGGAAGGCGTCTTTGGGGTTAAAAGGCAGATTGCCAAGTGACTTGTATTGGTAGTTTAGAGCACGGTCCACGTAGTGGACCACACCTTTGTACTGGATACCCGGCCTGGGTACCTCCCCCCAGGCCCAGGACCTGTACGGTGATACAGACGAGTGTGGTGCTTGAACCTGGCGGTTCCAACATTCCCCCCTCAAGCGACGCACTCGTGCGCCGGGTTCGTGTCTTCGCGCTTCAAGCTGTCATCAGTGGATCTGCCGTCGGTGTATGCCGCGTGACACATGCCAGCATCTCTTGCTGCGGTCCGCTAAGCTCTACCCGAAATTCTCGTCCAGCCACCTTGTCAGATGACTCGGCCACACCTTACAGCGCCTTGCGCACGTGTTCACCGCACGCGACTTGTCCTTTCGTGATCACCTCACGCGACTAGTACTTCCCTCCCCGGAACTCCTCAACTGTGACATCTTGTTCGCCCACTACTAACTACTTCTTGCTGGAACCTTATCCAACTTGCGCTGGTAGGATGAAACCAGCTTGACTACCATCACTCGCGTCCTCGCGGCACGACAGCAGCCAACCTGTTCAGCACACGTCATTAGCAGTTTCACTTCAGATCGAAATCGACAGTTCACCTTGGGTGCTTCCACCCCAGCGTTCGCCTGCTCGGTCACGTCCACGCTCTCTCCTCCAGTGTCCATGACCACTCCTTGCTTCCGAGCTAACTGCGGCTGTTAACCTGTTGGAGAGCGAGAAGGTCGTGCTCTCGAGGTGCCGCACTAGTCCATCAGAGACAGACAAGACTCTTAATCTGTTGGAGCACTCAGGTGGAAGGCGTCTTTGGGGTTAGAAGGCAGATTGCCAAGTGACTTGTATTGGTAGTTTAGAGCACGGTCCACGTAGTGGACCACACCATTGTACTGGATACCTGGCCTGGGTACCTCCCCCCAGGCCCAGGACCTGTACGGTGATACAGACGAGTGTGGTGCTTGAACCTGGCGGTTCCAACAAAGCAGGCATTGCGGTTGCGTGATTTGTGCGGCAAGGCTCAGATTGCAGACAGTATACGTCGGTGCGGTTGCTAGAATTGCCCGAACTTCGGCACCGAGCCGAGCATATTACTCACCACACCCGACAACGGGAGGGAGCTACCACGCATTGAAGTCCTCTTTGTCGTTTACATCTGCGGCAGCTACTCGGTGCTACCTTGAGTAAGCGCATGCGCGCGTGCAGCGGCTTCGCCTGTCCATTGGGACTGCAGACCTCGAGAGACTCAGCCTAGAAGATGGACACAGACAGCGTCGACTGACGCGTATCCTCGTCGAACTGCGCTGCGGTTCCTCAAAAACGTAGAAGATATTAAACCCAGTAGTAGTCACTACCAAAATGCGCGGTTGGCAAGCGCTGCAACCACGGCAGCAAAGTATATCCCTGATAAGGGTGGCGGTGGCTGCCGCAGCGTCAGAACTCACCAAAAGCGCAGATTTGGTAGTGAGAGCGAAGTATATTCTGGGGATAAGTCTGCGCAATTCTATTGCCTTTCTGTTGATATTCTAGTTCTACGGATTGACACGGTGTGACCCACACACGCACCGTGCTTCAACATTCATTTTTATTTTTTGGTTTTCGCGGACGTCGCCGGTTTGGTATACTCTCCCTATGCAGTATGATGTGGGCTCAGTGCTGCCTGTTGCGGGCTGATTTCTATATCGGAGTATTAATCGATTAAACGTGTTGGTGCTGCTGTTGCTGTCGGACGATAAACGCGATGTGCGCCGTGGGTATGTGTGAGTAGTATTGTTTGCTGTTGCTTTCAATGGTTTGCTAAACGGATCTAGTACGCTGGTGAGTTATAGCCATGGTGCATTCCCGGCGCACTTCGCAAAACAAGGACCAAGCAGCTCCAGACGACCAAGAATTCAACGTTCACGCGGATCTTCGGGTACGTGTCATCAAACAGATTACGACGACAAATACTTCCGATTTGAAATTTAAAATGCATTCGTTGTTATCCGGTTGTTTATGTGTATTTATACACGGCTATCTACTCCCGATACTTCGCACGCCTGACGAAGACAGTGCGTTCATTACTTGCTCGTCTCTGACGGTTTTATACTAGGATAGGAAGCGATAAAGTTGCTAGCCAGCCCAAACAGGATTAATTCGGGCGCTGTGTGTTGTCCCCCCATCGGTACAAACTGGTGATGAACCGGTAGTTTCAATGCTTGGGGTATAGCGTTATCTGGATAGCAACCAGCAAGACGCCCACGGCATTCAGCACCACAATGAAGAGGTCGTCGTCGACTATCCCGCTGATGAGCCACAGACCGCTGTTCACGAATATGATGGAGCACAGCAGGACGGGGATGGCTGACGAGCACTTGGTTTCAACCACAAGCTTGAGCTTCTCAAACGGCAACAGGAACAAGGCAAACATTACCACGTCGGGAAAGTAGCTAAAAATGACGTCGGGTTGGTGTCTCGACTGGGGGATAGCCCAAAACCGCGTAGAGAGTGACCAATACGAAGGGGGCCGCCCCCAGTACGAGACATTTGACCACGTACTTCCGGTCCGGGCACCACTTTGCGTAGATGGTGATGTAGAGGGCCAACGCGATGTCGCCGAAAACACACACGGAGATGAGCGGAAAGATATTCTTCACCTTGTAGGCGTAGATCAACTTGGCAGTGAAAGTAAGTCGTTAGTGATGAATATGTTAGGTAGAACTGTAAGGAGGTGGACGTCACGGCCACGTGCGAGACGGTGAGCTCAGCCGAGGCGCCATTTGGCGGTGTTGCAGCTGGTGCCGGAGTGGGGCGTGTATCCAGCGGACCGTGTGGTGGGCAGGATCGGCAGCACTGGACCCCACCCGCTCAGGCTGCACGAGTACTACAAGCTCGAGTGTGAGCTCGCTTCCGATTTGGACGGCTAGCGAGCAGCCGGACAAGTCAACAACAGCGCGCTCGGGAGCGAGCGCGAGACGGATCCGCACTGGACCTCTGCGTCTAATCACGTGAGCTATCCTGTGTCGCTTGACGTTCTTGGTCGATCCGGTCCTGGATTGCTGCCACAGTGCATTCACGCACAGCAGTACTGGACTTGTTGTTGGTGCGGTCGCGATCCAGTATGGGCACCAGGGATCAGACCGAATTGATCATCTGGTCCGGCCCCATTCGGTACGGCACTTTGGTATCCGGTGCGTCGCTACCGGGTGCACCACAATCCGGCAAACAGTGTTCTTCGTCCAGCGAGGTCTTGGGCGCATGGGAGCATGGTGGGCATGGTGAACTTGGGGGTTGGTCCGATGTCTTGACGGAGCCAATGCAGGCAGCAACCAGGATACGTTCACTGGTTGCACTTGCGCGCCTTAGGCTTATCCTGCGGTCAGGGAAGTCGTCGGACGGACAGCATGTGTTACTCATGTGTTATTTTTTAGAATATAAGCGCTCATCCGGTGGGCACATCTCCGATCCTGTGAGCCCATGCTTACTGCAAGCACCGGGTCCCGCCAAATCCACCATGCGCATCCACTATCCACATGTCACACTCCACGTCACTGGATTCCTGTCCACTGCGACCAGTCACAGTCAGGCGAAAGGCCGTCCCATCCCAGCGGTCAGACATGGGTGCAGATATAAATCCTTTCCCACATCGTGTCAAGTCGCTTTCACGACGACAGGGAATCTAGCTAGTGCGGCGCCACAGCAGCGGAGTTCTTACCATGAGCAAAGGCGGGGGGGCTGCTGCGGTGACCGAAAACGATGAACTGAGCTGAGGATGGGCCCAGCTATTTTAGTAGTAGTCTAGATCGGTCACAGATTGTTTTGCGGATCAACGTACCTAGTCTAAATCGCTCAGTGCAAAATCCCAAAGGAAAGGTCTGTAACCTAAATCACTCAAGGTTTTGGAACCATCTATTGTAGTTAAAATTACTCGAATTGAACTGACACTAAGAAAGTTTTCTGACTGCATGAGGAAATGGGTTATTTTGTTTTAGCAAAAAGTTGGCTGAAGGGTATGCCAACTCCGAGAACCACTTACAACCACCGCCATGCCTGGTCAAGTCGCCATCGGCATCAAGGCGCGCCCCGTGCCGCCATTGAGAATAAGCTGGTGGACAGCAACGATCCGTTGATGGTTCATCTTTATACAGCTAGGACTTGCCGATGCCTTGCCAAGAGCTTTAACGCGCTCGCAGCGAGTCTCAATGGCCGGTGGAACTGGGTACTGCCTTTAGCATGGTTGTGCCGTTGTAGGCACTTTTAGTTCTACTCAGCACGGGTGGAGATGCGCTTAACAATACAACAACATAAGCTATTACGTTGTATTATATCAAGCAATCCGCAGGAGCGCAAACGACAGTTCTTACGAACTGTGAACAAAGCTGATAGGAGCAATTGGGGATGACAACGACACAAACGATATGCTCTTCGGCGTCGAGAGTTGCCTGGGCGCGCTCAATTCTAGGTTCACCGCGGTATCAAGCTCAAGCTCGCCCGTGTCTGCCGCTGACACCGTTCTACCTGGGCGGTATATGGAGTATAGCGTTATCTGGATAGCAGCCAGCAAGACGCCCACGGCATTCAGCACCACAATGAAGAGGTCGTCGTCGACTATCCCGCTGATGAGCCACAGACCGCTGTTCACGAATATGATGGAGCACAGCAGGACGGGGATGGCTGACGAGCACTTGGTTTCAACCACAAGCTTGAGCTTCTCAAACGGCAACAGGAACAAGGCAAACATTACCACGTCGGGAAAGTAGCTAAAAATGACGCCGGGTTGGTGTCTCGACTGGGGGATTGCAGCGGGGCTGCCGTAGCTTTGCGTCAGAGGAAGCTTAACAGACTCACAGAGTCTCAGCTTAAGATAGCCCGTTCTAATACCAGAACGTACGAGTCCGTACTCCTTACGGACTCCAAGAGTCAACCCTTAACTCTTAACTGTGTGAATCTCAAACTGAATGTATTTCCCTTTATTGCGGCAACGCCGCCTACGGTGTAAATGTATCCGGTTCACTATCTAGCATAGTGAACCCTAGTCATATGCATAATCAGTGGCTCTGAAGTCGTGTACTGATTCTCCTATTGATTTAGGTTAGACAGTGTGTATCCACTTCGTAACCCTTCGGGTAACTCTCGTGTAACCCCATTACAGGGATAGCCCCACACGAGACCAAAACCTAACTACAATACACGTCAACCTGCCGTGCACGAACTGAGTTCTGATCTTATCGCCGTCTCGAGCCATTCGGTTGTACACCCATGCGCGCCTACCATACTCGTGGAAGCCGTCGAGAGACTTGGAAGTCAACGTGCTTCCTCGTTCGTCACCCTGCCGTCGTCCACTGCCGTGTAGTCGTCCACAGAGTCCGTGGTGGCGTTCAGCCACGCTTCGCCCGCCTTGCGTTCGTCCGTCTCGCGCTCGCTCCCGAGCGCGCTGTTGCTGACTTATCCGGCTACTCGCTAGCCGTCCAAATCGGAAGCGAGCTCACACTCGAGCTCGCAGTACTCGTGCAGCCTGAGCGGGTGGGGTCAAGTACTGCCGATCCTGCCGTCCACGCGGTCCGCTGGATACGCGTCCCACTCCGGCACCAGCTGCAACACCGCCAAATGGCGCCGCGGCTGAGCTCACCGTCTCGCTCGTGGCCGTGACGTCCACCTCCTGACAGTACTACCTAACATATTCATCACTAACGACTTACTTTCACTGCCAAGTTGATCTACGCCTACAAGGTGAAGAATATCTTTCCGCTCTTCTCCGTGTGTGTTTCCGGCGACATCGCGTTGGCCCTCTACATCACCATCTACGCAAAGTGGTGCCCGGACCGGAAGTACGTGGTCAAATGTCTCGTACTGGGGGCGGCCCCCTTTAGCACCACCTCCTTCACACATTCGCTGAGAGCCATGTACTCCGCCTCAGTCGAGCTCAGCGCGACCGTCTTTTGAAACGTCGAGCGCCAAACCACGGGAGCACCCCACATCATCAGCGTCATTCCGCTGACAGAGCGTCTGTCGTCGCGGTTACCAGACCAGTCGGCGTCCGAGTACACGACGAGCTCCGTGCCAAGCAATCCATCGTCGACGATTCCGAGATTCTTGATCTTCAACAGGTACCTCACCACACGGATACCAGCATCCCAGTGCTTCTCACCGGGGTTCTCTAGAAACCGACCTGCTCAAAGATTTGGGTGCGGAGCAGGATGGACCTTCGGTGATCTACGAGGACAACCAAGGTGACATGACGTTGGCGAATAATGTCGGCTACCAAGCTCGCACCAAGCACATCGACATCCGCTACCACTTCATCCGCGAGAAGATCACGAGTGGCGTTGTGGAGCTCGACTACGTTGAGTCCAAGAACCAACTCGCTGATTTCCTAAACAAGAGACTCTCGACGAAGACTCTTCGCTATCTGCTCGAGCGCAGTAACATCACTGAGTGCTCGGGTAGACTGCGAATTGAGTGGGGGTGTTGCGATTGTATCCTTCGCAGTCTAGTTGTGTGTCTCCGTATGGAGGCACGTGCTTGCTGTGAGATTATTGCCGATGGTAGGCAATTGTGGTACACGTGGTGGGATACTAAGATCTGATTGGCGGATCCCCAAGATTTGCACTTCTGATTGGCTGAGAGAAAGACAAGTTGAAGTTGCCTTTCTGGATACGATCTGCAACATTTACTTGTTGATCCCCAGCCTCTAATCCTTGGAAGTAGGAGGTATGCGTTGGTATGATTCATTTTTAAGCATAGGAGACTGGGATATGATAGTTAGTTTGGCCTAACTCATTCTAATTCTCTTTCGAATTTCATTCCTACCCAACACTCGACTACCAAGCCTCGCCCGCATATTCTCAAGTGTATCCGGGGCCCGGATTCCGGGCAAGTACAAGGCATTGATAAAAATAGGCGTCTGGCCTATAATTTGGACTATTCTATTCAACTTATGTTATGAGGTTGTCTGAAATGTTCTAAGCCAGGTGATCAGCGCCGATATCTGATATGATCCCGGTGGCAGTACGTGTCTGTCTCTGGTCGAGGTGCCTCTCTTGGTGTCCGCTGGAAGAGATCCAAACCGATGAGTAATCTTGTTCCTTGGGCTACTGTCCTTGGATTTCTGCGAATCAAAAAGTAGCTATAATACTTTTTCACTAATAATAAGTACCCACTATTTTCTTGCCGCTGGCGAAATTTTTAATTTTGCCTCTAAATCGTCGTAAAACTGGAAACGCATGGCAACAGATCGAAAGAAAATAGTGGGTACTTATTATTAGTGTAAAAGTATTATAGCTACTTTTTGATTCGCAGAAATCCAAGGACAGTAGCCCAAGGAACAAGATTACTCATCGGTTTGGATCTCTTCCAGCGGACACCAAGAGAGGCACCTCGACCAGAGACAGACACGTACTGCCACCGGGATCATATCAGATATCGGTGCTGATCACCTGGCTTAGAACATTTCAGACAACCTCATAACATAAGTTGAATAGAATAGTCCAAATTATAGGCCAGATCATAGGCATCCCGGAACAGCGCCTATTTTATCAATGCCTTGTACTTGCCCGGAATCCGGGCCCCGGATACACTAATAATTGGGTTCAGAAAAAACACGAAACCTATCGTACTCCTTAATGTAAAACCACTCATTTACTGTAAGTACTGGCTCTCGAGTGATGTACTCTACTCGAACCTGGCATAGATTTGCACAGCTTGACAACGTGAGACAGTTCAGCAAAACGTTGTCTGCGTGTCTTCCAGCCACTAACTGGAAATATCTACTTACCGTAGTAGTAAAATATAATACATACGGATGTATTACATGTAGCACAGCATGGGCCAACGAAGGTCGCAACGTCGCGCAGCCACAGCAAACCGCGCGAGGTGCCCGCGATGCAGGGCCGCGCGTATTAATAGTTGCGGAGGTCGGCTCAGTGCCGAGCATTCCGGTGAGCCGACCACTCTACTCACCGGGTGAGAGAATCTTCTTCTCGCAGGGGTGCAGCGACTGCCTTGCTGTGTTGCTGCCAACACCGCGGAGCAAAGCCCATGATTCCATACAAATATCAAGATATGATGATTACGTTGCTGTACCATACAGTCAAACACAGTAATCAGTATATCTTCTTTTTTGTATGTGTTGATTACTTTGTGTACTACATGTATTACAGTACATGTAGTACATGTACATGTTATGATACAGTAGTAGCTTTGAGCTGCTCAACCTCGAGATCGGTGGCGCCGTATCGTCGGCGAAGTACGCCATGCCGGAATCGTTTATTCATCAACTTCCCCTCCCCCGAAGCCACCGACATCCAGTCAACCCTCCAAGACCAAGCATGCGTCTTACCTACTTCCTCCTCGTGGCTGCGTCAACTTTTCTCTCTACTGTCGATGCTAGTGCGGGCGGCATCAAGGCTGAGCTGCCTGCTCTGACTTCGACTGACGCAGCCGTTCCAGCCCGTGCGGTTGACACCAGCAATGGCAAGAGGTTTTTGCGAGCCTACTACACGGACGATGAAGACGAAAAAGACGAAGACGATGAAGACGAAAAATACGAAGAAGAGAGAGCAAACCCCGACTTATGACGGGGGAAGCACTGGCTGCGTGGGTCCGTAAATGGGAGGGGAAGGCATACCAATGGTTCTTAGATGGAAAAACGCCGGCCCAAATCGAGGATGAACTGAGTGGCCTGAGGGCTCCGCACGAAGAATGGGAGAAAGTACGCGTACTTCTTGGAGCACTGGAACGCGGCGCATCCGAACGACCCCCATGTTCGTCGTTAGCGTGCTCACCTTCGTTGGCGATTGAGAGAGTGACGCTATGGTTGTCCGTCCATGAATGAACGCTGCTGACCGTAGTTTAGTCCCAAGAATACGTAGCCTGCGTGGATGAAGATGGGTAGGGATTTCTTCTTCTTGGCTACTTACTCTTCACCTACTAGCTGAGTTTACTTCTTCTTCAAAATTCGCCTCATGATCTTAGCGCTATATGACTTCGGTTTTCTGTAATGCTGCGCTCATTGTTTTCTCCCTTTCCATTTCATGAACTAAGCAACCGACACTCACTCACTCTGTCTAGCTGTTCTACCATTACAAGGCGATGCGGTTACCGCCTAAAATTTCCTTCCGAGCTTCTTCGGCACGACTTTGGCGTCGCAAAAAATGATTTCTAAAAAAAGGTTTCTTGCCAAGTTCGACAACGATTTGATTTATACATGTTCGTCACTACCTTTGGTGTCGTTTAAGTGTTGTCTACTACCTTTGCATCCGGAAAGCACCGATCGAGCCCATTATCGACTTTACTACATTTAGTATTGTGAGTCGGTTAAACATCGCTCACAGCGGATTTGAAGACTAATAAATCGGGAATATCTCAATTATAATCGGAGTATAAATCGCTCATCGGTCTCGTAATTATGTGCAGCCTAGCAATTTCAATCAACGTGAGCCGGTTAAACATCGCTCACAGCGGATTTGAAGACTAATAAATCGGGAATATCTCAATTATAATCGGAGTATAAATCGCTCATCGGTCTCGTAATTATGTGCAGCCTAGCAATTTCAATCAACGTGAGCCGGTTAAACATCGCTCACAGCGGATTTGAAGACTAATAAACGGGAATATCTCAATTATAATCGGAGTATAAATCGCTCATCGGTCTCGTAATTATGTGCAGCCTAGCAATTTCAATCAACGTGCATGGCCCGAGACTCGCCAAGTGCAGCGACAACACCGCGCTTAAACGCGTCGCCTGCATATCTCAGTTGCATGTATTATAGCGTGCGGCTTTTCCTGTTTTGACATTCTGTCTGAATACTGTAGCAAGCAAATCGGCCGGCTCTGGCTTAATCGGCCGATTAGCAAATGTAAATCCGACTCATATGCTCTTACTCTGTAGTCTCCTAGGTAGTAAGTAATCTGAGTATAAATCCAGGTACCCCAGTCTCATTAGGAGGTCGGATTTATCTAATCGCGGTTCATCGGTCTTATTAAGTCACTAAATCGGCGGATTAACAATCCAATAAGACATTCTAATTACGGTAATTAGAATTTCTAATCGGTTTTCACAATAACGATGCAATACGTTTTCCGGGTCCTAGCGAAAGCGGCACTAGCAGCCAGTCATTCAACTGGGCGAAGTTGAGCATCATGGCGACAAGTACCCCGACATCGACAAAGAGTTATGCTGGACTAACTGTGTGCCATCACAATCGTTCTGAGGTTTTGGGCCAACACAATCGAAAGCTATGACAAGACTTTAAAAGAAAAATGTCCATGCTTAATTATTTTTCATTCATCGATTCGGGGACTGGCCAAGGAAAGGGGACTGACTGCAATGTTGTTACTAGTGCTCGAAGTTGTGAGGCTTGCTGCCGCCGCAGTGCTCGCTGTCTGATCTTCTTCCCCGTCTGCAGATGGCCGCCCATTGTAACGCAAACATGTAAATAGAGGTGAATCCGAGCATTGGCTGGGAGACTGCCTACGCGCGGCGCCCGTGCTGGTCTTGATTCTGCTCGCCGTAGTTAATTTGCCGACCATCATCTGGGCACGGTGTTTCCGGGGCTGGAGTGCTCGGGGGAGGTGCAGTATCGGGGCATGGTGTCTCCGGAGCTGGAGTCTCGGGGCACGGAGTTTCCGGAGCTGGGGTCTCGGGACATGGAGTTTCCGGGGCTGGGGTCTCGGGGCATGGCGTCTCTGGAGCTGGTGTTTCGGGGCATGGTGTCTCCGGAGCTGGAGTCTCGGGGCACGGAGTTTCCGGGGCTGGAGTCTCAGGGCACGGAGTTTCCGGAGCTGGGGTCTCGGGACATGGAGTTTCCGGGGCTGGAGTCTCGGGGCATGGCGTCTCTGGAGCTGGAGTCTCGGGGCACGGAGTTTCCGGAGCTGGGGTCTCGGGACATGGAGTTTCCGGAGCTGGGGTCTCGGGACATGGAGTTTCCGGGGCTGGAGTCTCGGGGCACGGAGTTTCCGGGGCTGGAGTCTCGGGGCACGGAGTTTCCGGAGCTGGGGTCTCGGGACATGGAGTTTCCGGGGCTGGGGTCTCGGGGCATGGCGTCTCTGGAGCTGGTGTTTCGGGGCATGGTGTCTCCGGAGCTGGAGTCTCGGGGCATGGCGTCTCTGGAGCTGGAGTCTCGGGGCACGGAGTTTCCGGAGCTGGAGTCTCGGGGCACGGAGTTTCCGGGGCTGGGGTCTCGGGGTATGGCGTCTCTGGAGCTGGAGTCTCGGGGCACGGAGTTTCCGGAGCTGGAGTCTCGGGGCACGGAGTTTCCGGAGCTGGGGTCTCGGGACATGGAGTTTCCGGGGCTGGGGTCTCGGGGCATGGTGTCTCTGGAGCTGGGGTCTCGGGGCACGGAGTTTCCGGGGCTGGGGTCTCGGGGTATGGCGTCTCTGGAGCTGGTGTTTCGGGGCATGGAGTCGTAGGAGCTGGAGTCTCGGGGCACGGAGTAGTTGGAGCAGGAGTCTCGGGACAAGGTGTTTCCGGTCCGGGTGTTTCAGGACACGGAGTCTCCGGTGCTGGTGTCTCAGGGCATGGTGTATCCGGTGCTTCAGTGTCAGGACATGGAGTCGTAGGGGCTGGAGTCTCGGGGCACGGAGTATCCGGAACTGGCGTCTCCGGACATGGCGTCTCCGGCGCTTCAGTGTCTGGGCACGGAGTAGTTGGCGCAGGCGTCTCGGGGCATGGGGTATCTGGTACTGGTGTTTCAGGGCACGGAGTCTCCGGAGCTTGAGTATCAGGGCACGGAGTAGTTGGAGCAGGCGTCTCAGGGCACGGAGTGTCGGGCTTTGGTGTTTCAGGACATGGGGTCTCGGGGCTTTCCGTCTTCGGGCACGGAGTGGTCGGGGCTGGCGTCTCCGGACAAGGAGTGTCGGGCTTGGGCGTCTCTGGGCACGGGGTTTCAGGGCCCTCCGTTGCCGGACAGGGTGTACTCGGAGCTGGAGTCGGGCCTTCAGGACACGGCGTCTCCGGTGCCTCGGTCTCCGGACAAGGGGTGGTCGGAGCAGGGGTCTCGCCTTCCGGGCACGGGGTGGTCGGCGCTGGCGTCGGCGTGTAGCCTGCCGAGCCAGACTCCTCCTTGGGCGGAGCTGGTGTCGGCTTCTCCTCTTCGGGGCACGGCGTGGTCGGTGCTGGCGTGTAGCCTGCCGAGCCAGACTCCTCCTTGGTCGGAGCCGGTGTCGGCGTGTCGTCGATTGGCATGGGCAGGTTGGTACCCGGGCACGGCGTGGTGGGTGCCGGGGTGGAGCTGGGGTAGTCATGGTCGCCGCCCTTCGTGGCAGCAGGGGTCACGTCGGACGTGCCGGACTCGTAGGTGGTCGGGCAGGGCGTGGCCGTCCCGCCCGAGACGGACGGGAAGACGCAGCCCCACGTATCGCCGAGCACGATGGCGCACTCGGCGTCCTCCTTGGCCGTGCACTGCTTGCCGTCGAAGGAGAAGAGGTACGAGTGGCAGTCGGCCGTGGCCACGTCGCCCTTGAGCGGACAGGCCGTGCCGGCCGGCGCCTTGCCGGCGCCCGAGCAGATCGCGCCGCGCGAGGCCGCGATGGTGAAGGTGGCGTCGTACTGCACCGACACCGGCAGGTCGGCGGTCGCCAAGCCGGTCGTGCTCAGCGCGGCGAGAACCGCAGCGAAGAGGAGGCGGGGTGGCGCCATGGTGGTCCGCGTCGGTCGGCGGGGGGGTGAGGTCGAAGTGTGGAGGTTCGGGAGAGTGAGGGGGTCAAGTGCTCGCAGGCGAGCAAATTGAAGAGTGAGAAGCGCAGTGAGGAGGGCGGCGAGCTTCTTGGATCCTGGCGGGTCGCAAGGCTGTGGCCGACTGACTTTGAACCCGCGGCCACTCTGCCGGAGGGCGTGCTCCTGGTTAGGCAAACGAAGGTCTCGATTGCATCGTGGGTTGCTGCTATCGAGCAGCGCTCGGGTCTGGCGTGCCCAGACTAGCCGCTTCTGTCAAGTGACTTGGACTCAGTATGGCGGCGATTGAAGGGACACAAGTTGAAGTTGCTGCGCTCGCGGGCCATTCGCTGGCGAGCGCTGTTGTCGCTCAGGGCGAGCGGCGTGGTGGGCACCTCGAGGCTGGAGTGAAGGCGCAAGCCTCTATCTATGACCGTCTTGGGCACGGCCGGCTCGCGGGTGCCTGGACGTGCAGTACGACAATCTCCGCAGGACGCGTGCAATTCGGACTGCACCCATTAGGTTCAACAACCAGCTCGTGGCGCAAAAATTGTAGTAGTGGGTGAACGGACTAGCGACCGGGCCACGTTGCCGTGAATGTGTCATGGATGCAATGGCTGCAAAAGCCGACGAAGTTGGCTGCCGGCCGGCGCCACTAGCGGCCGGGCAAGCATGCTCACTGCCGTGAATGTAGTCCACAATGGAGTCGAGTGCAATGCTATTTGCAGCGGTGACCTATCAATGATATGCTTTAGGTGATGAGAACTTCACGGCGTGCATCGCCAGAAAAGGATCCAGGGACTCGAAAGAAGTTGGTGGGACGCACGTAATGGATGCACACACCGGTCTCACATGTAAAAGTCGCTCTTGTTTGTCACCGCGTTGGCCTTCCCCCTTTTGTCTAGGCCGATCGCACTCGAAGCCGCTCTGAATACCTACGACTCATAATACTAGTCACAAAAGAGTTGTTCAGATAGTGGTGCAAGCGCAGCGGGCGCTACCCAACACGTTCACAGGGAACCTGCGCTCCAGAGGTCCGCCAATACCATAAAAAATTGTATTGCCAGCAGCATGACTCCATAATAAAGATTTCAATATAGCGGCAAGCAATAGTAAATATTGCCGTAATTTATATTGTATTGTTAGTTATTTCTTCATGTTCTTCTAACTCTCGCTCTTCTACCACTACTTCCCGTAGGCACGCCTATCTCGATAAAATCTCTGGGATCCACAGGCCAAAACACGCCGAGCTCCTCCTCTTCAAAACGCGCAATGGCATCTTGTGGTAAATCTGACGCTGGCTGCCAAGTAGGACGGGGGTATCCAACCCAACTCACAAAGTAGTAGTTGTTCCCATCCAGATCAGTCTTTTTTGCATAAATAAACTCAAGGGTGTATACAATGTTGAAATGAGACGCTAGGCCGCCCGAGAATGGCGGCTGGGCTTCTCTACGAGTCTGCTCCTGACCAGTAATTGTATCGACGCTAGTGTAGTGTGGAGGACCCCATTGTTGATGTCATCGGTGGTGCCATGTGATGCCATCAAACGTAGATTTGTGGTGGGCCGGAGAACCGCACTTTTTCATATTTATTGTCAATAATTGGGTCAATATCATATTGTATTGGTAGCTGGGATGTCCAATAATAAAGATTTTTATTGCAAAACCCATATATTTATTGAATTGAAATATTTTTTCCGACCTCTGCTGCGCTCGTAGATCAACATTGAAGCGTGCATGACTTTCAAAACAGATCAAAGTAGAAAAAGAAAACTACGCTTGCATATGGAAGGCAACAAAAAATACTACCACTACCATGCATACCCATTACGGGTGTTCTAAGCCTCGCTGCGGGCGAGACATTCCGAGAAAGAGTCTATGTGTCTCGTCTTGATGGGCATCCGATCACGACTTACTTGGTTCGTTCCTTCATTCCGAGCGGAGCTTGCGGTTCGCGTTCGCCGTCGCCGTCGCGCTTGCCGTCGCACCGCCGTTGGAAGGCTGGGCCGGGTAGCCATTGTTGACCACGGTGGTGGGGGCGCCAACACCGACAACTCCAGGCACGCCAACGCCCACACCAGGGCTGACGACACCAGGCCCGTAGGCGCCCGTACCGCCCACTCCGACGGTCGCGACGCCGGGAATGCCAACGCCGACGCCCTCCGGTCCAGAGAAGAAGGTCTCGGCCACCTCCTTCTCCGCGCTCACTCCGCTTGAGATGGCGACGGCGGCGACGACGCACACGGTGAAGATCTTGCTGTTGCTGAACATGGTAGCTGGGGGGCTTGGGTCGGGCGGTTGAGGCTTGGGTAGGTGAATTTGAGAATGAGGGCTACAATGCAGCTTGCCTGGGGCTTAGCTCGACAACGACAGGCTAAAGTCAAGTGCCCATGCCTGCCTGTTCGCCGCTGAAGGTTGTGGCCTGGTTGGTTGACACCAGAGGGCTGGAAGATGTGGAGAGGCTTGAACAGTCGTTGAGCTCCATGCACGACGCACATCGCCCATAGCCGACTTCGACGTAGCAGCCAGTTGGTCTGGTAAGACGTCGTTGTGGTCAACATCCGCTGGCCAACGGACACGGATAACCTCCAGATGTCAGGGAAATGAGTGGCCGGCCAATCTGGAGGTGGAGTTGATAGACGTTTACGGACAGCAAAACATAGTCGATTCTTGGAACAGATTCTTCAAAGAGTGCCTGCTATTTTGTGGCTCGGATGCGGCGGCTTCTGCAACGTGGACAAGGTTGTTTTATCATTGAAGCGCTTCGGAAATTGCAGCAATAGGAAACACAAGAGATGGGAACCACGTCGGGTAGGATTCTACTATAGTCGTCTACGGCGGTCTTGCGGCAAGACCCATTCAACATGTCCGATGACGACGAACCTGTTAGCTCGTCTACCACAAGGGACACCGTTTTGAGGCGATTGTCTGTTGTCACCACCAAGCTGTGTCGCTACTGCGTTCATGTGGAGGTAGTCGCCCACTTTGGCAGTCGCTTTGTCACGACTGCTGCAACGTTGCCGGGCTAGGTCACAGTATTCTTATCCGAATCGTTTATATTGCGATTTGTGAAGATACTTTGATACTGAAGTTTGTATGCTCTATGTTGAAGTGACGTCTCCCACGCCACTGATGCCTAGGACTGGTTCAATAGGAACACCGGTTTCTGCATAAGCGGATGACTTTTTGCGGTCAGCTCCTCCAAGCTGTTTTGCTGCGAGTGGCGTCGACTGGCGTCGCAGTGGCTTGGCGGCCGAGCTGTCCGCTGAGCCCCTCGCTGCACGCGATCAGTGGCAGTCCAGCTGCCGCGATCTCTTGGCGCGGGACGGCATGCGGCTGAATCAAGAGCCACTCATGAGCCCCTGGGCTGGTGCCACTGCTGCCTGCGTCTTTCCGCAGCCAGATGCCTCGCTTGTGCTGCGGGTCACCAGACGAGCAGCAGCAGGTTGTCCGTCCGCTTGACGGCGAGAACGCCCCCGCTGCTCATTTCGAAATCCACTTCCCAGCGAAGTATCGGTCATCCGCTTCGTCTCAAGGCCTCCAACGTAACGTAACAACCCCCCCCCCCGCAGTATCCGACAATGGTCAACCGAAGCAACCTCGCCACGCTACTCGTCGCCGTCGTGGCCTGTACGAATGGAGCGCTCGCCGAGCAAGAGGCAGCCCAGTTCGGCTTCGGAGGTTTCCCCGGCATGGGCGGCATGGGTGGCTTCCCTGGAATGGGCGGCGGCATGGGAGGCATGTCGAGCCTCATGAAGATGATCCCAGGCATGGGTGGCATGGGTGGAGGAGGCATGGGCGGTCTCCCTGGCATGGGTGGCGGCGGCATGGGCGGAATGTCAAGCTTGATGAAGATGATCCCAGGCATGGGCGGCGGTTCCTCTGGCACGAGCGGCGGCGGCGGTCTATCGGGCCTCAGCAGCATGATGTCAGGCATGGGTGGCGGCGCTGGCGGCTCCTCGGGCACCACCAGCAAGTCGACTACAGGCACGGGAGGAGGTTACAGCTCGCCAGGCACGGTGCATGCTCCCAGCATGGGTGCAACAAGCACTGGGGCTACTGGAGCTACTGGAGCGACTGGAGCCACCGGAGCAGTGCCAGCGGCCCCGGCCGCCCCTGTTGCTGCGGCCATGCCTACTGCTGGAGTCGCCCCCACTACTGCCGCCGCCCCCGCTGCTGGAGTCGCCCCCACTACTGCCGCCGCCCCCGCTGCTGGAGCCGCTCCGGCTGCCGCTGCCGTCCCTGCTGTAGGCCTGACTCCTGCTATTCCCGCGACTGGAGCCGCCCCTTCTACCGGCGCAGCGGCACCTGCTGCCGGGGCTGTTCCTAGCCAGACGTACCGCCGCAACCTTCGCGTTGAATAAGCAAGCCCCTGAAGTAGTTGTCTGTCAGTTAGTCAAGTTTGCACGGATGCAGTGTAAACGTAAGAAAAGTGTATCACCGAGTTACCACCTTCTAGCTAATGTGTGAGATTGGAACGAAAACAATTGTTGAGCTAGTCCGACATCCCAAATATCATTTGATACGAGAGCTGTGATCACAGCCTGTGATAGAAGGCTACGAGTTCTATAGGTCTAATTAGCTGGAGTGCCTGATGCTTACGAACCATTTGGAGTTTTCGGCGTTTGAAGTTCACCAACCAAATTTCGTACCTAGTCGGACATCGTAAATTCGAAAGTGAAAATTACTCGTACAAAGCAGAAAAGATGCTTATGTGATTTCTTTTACCACCAGATTTCCAATAATGTACAGCACGAAAAAATTGAATAAGTATTGGCCCCTTACAAAATCCGGAATTTGGGGGGGTTGGAAATGGAGATACGTTTTGAAACCGGTGTCACTTCACGAGTTCTTAAGTGCTCAATAGCTTAAAAGACGCACAAGACGCAGTTCTGTCGATTTATGCGGTTAAATCGCGATTCGTAAGCATCATTTCGTTTGACGCGGTCCTTTCAGAGCTCATTAAATGAGCTCTGAAAGATTGGTCAATGCCGTCTTTTTCTACGTGCATTAAATTTTAAACCAAGGGAACAGCTTTAGGGACATCGTTTAGCAAAAGAACGTCGAGAAATCCAGTATCAATCTGTATTCATCCGTGATGCATTTAGGACGTGCGCACCCACTAACATGTTTCCACGACCACCAAGTGTGAACTTTCAGTTGCCCCGAATGCGTTGTCTTCTCGGATTTTGCTTTACTTGATTAGGAAATTAGATGAACGGTGTGAAAACTCACTTTTACCGCTCGACGGGTGCCAAAAACACGTGATAACCCGGAAAAGTTTTGGGTACCCCACTACGTGTTTTTGGATACCGTTTTTCACGAAAAACGGTGCTTCTAAAAGCCTCTAATGAATATAAACCCCAAGGTTTATGGGTTTAAATAGAAACATATCTAACAGTTCACATTTTGAAGGATTGTTGGGGGCTTCCAGACCAGCTCTAAATACGAGAGTTATGCGTCTGGATAGCTTAAGTGTTGGAACATGTGGTGAGGTAAATAGTAAATCACTTCCAGCGTCACCCTCAAGTACAAGTGTCGGGCCCCTTTCTTTTGTCGTTGCAACATTAAGAACGTTGTTTAAAGCAACTAGGGCATCTGCACCGCGCCGTGCCGTCGATATCGCACAAGCAACAATTCACCGCGAAAATTTCGATATACAAAGTCGAGCGTTGAACGAAGAAGCAGAAGAAGTTGATTAACTGCTTAATAAACTTCTTGTTTAGCTAGCTACCACAATATAAATGGACTAAGTTGCTGCGCTAGTTATTGGCGGGGAATCCAAATCCGACTTGATGGCGGGGAATAGGTTGTTATCAGGGTTCTTCTAATACCAATTTCCGGGGGGGGGGGGTAACACAGACTGCATGTTTGTTAAATCCAAGCTCCGTTGAATGTCGAAAAATATGCCGGCCAAATGACGCTTTCGAGCTTTCTGTGCTTGGTTTGTCAGCGTCCGTCTCATGAAAGTAGGTATCGTTACGAAGTGGGAGAATATTTTTATCTGTTGCTAATTTACTGGTTCATCTGTTGCGGGCAAATCAGCGGAAAATCTGTTGCCCGTGTCGGTTTATCTTGCGTGGTGTAGGGACGAAAGCAACAGGTTTTCAGTACGGAAATCCTGCAACAGATTACATGTCGAGTTGACTCGGTATATCTGTTGCCTATGTGATTACTTGTTGTGCTCATGCATCGAGTAAGAGCACCCCCGCTATTGCTCAGGAAGGTGATGCATGATCTTGTGGTATTCCATTTCGGGGACTATGGCGAGCTCAGCGGTCTGCTACGGATTTATTCTGCGATAGTCATTCCTTAACTTTGCAAGCAGCTTGAGTTATTGTTGCATGCAGATGATAGCTTGCCGTTCCCCTTAGAGGCCAACGAGGACTGTGACTTCTGGCGCAGGCGTGCTACGACATCAGCAGCACAGGTATGGCAAGTCAACGTCGCCACGGGTGCGCTCTTGACGTCCAAGCCTATCGCGAAGAGTGTGTAACCTATTTTAAAGCGCATGAGGTGCTACTGGACCAATTGGTGCCAGGGATGAGTTACAGCTTCTTCAGTGTTTCCAAGGATTTAACAGCAGACCACGCGCTTACGGGTCGATCCACGAGGTGAAGGATCACTGCGGTGAGCGTCACGTTGTCCTCCTAGTCATTGTGTGAGTCATAACGATCAGAGCGGTCATAACGACCCCCATAGCCATCATCACAGGAAGAACGGCCTTGGTCGTAAGAGCGGTAGCCCTGAGGGTCGAATTTGTCATAGCCATAGCCCCAATTGTAGTAATGAGAGCCGTTGTGTCCGTGGTAGCCCCGATCGCGCGCGTACTTAAGTATGCGTGAAGTCATCGGACGGAGGTGTCGACTCACGTCCGCTGGGTAGTACGATGTAGTGCACGTGGCCACTGAGAGTGACATTAACGGAACAATGCATTAACACGAGCATCCGTCGGCCACGCCGACAACAGCTTCGGAGCTGCGAGTGGCTACAGTACCGTAGATGTCATCGCTGCCCTTTGTCTAAGTTACGGGGTTGCACGATGTAGTTCACTCCAGTCTGCAGGACTTTAGGATCTGCTCTCGTCATCCACTGTCGCTCTCGATCTCCATACTCTCTCTATCCGCATAGATTTTTGTTTGAGCTAAAACTCATATTACAGCGCCAAACGGTTGAGTACGCTTGCTACTGGACTGCAGGCAGCATCCAGGAGACCGGCTCCATGATCACTAGGTTCGATGAGGAAGCGAAGTACGACTTGTACTACCGAGTACTTCGGCGTGTTTGGAGCGTGGGCACAACAGACTATGGCGACTCGTACTCATGGACTGGACTTCCTCCGGGTGCTTCCTGAGGTAGTAGAGTGCAAAGCTACCCCCTCGTGCGAAGAGCGTGGGCACTAGACAGTGAGTCCTTCAGTTCTATGTATTCGCGACGTGTACAAGCTCGCACAGGGGCAAATGCCTTGGCGGCTACATAACAACGAACGAAGAAGAGCTATTGGAGACCACGCAACTATTATTTATCTTAGTCACATGCACAGGTAAGCAAGCTCATCTCGCGTTCATGTGTACAGGTGAACGTGGCCCAACCATCTAAATCAAGATCCAGCGCAATCCAAACTTTGCCTAGTCCGAGGCGGATCACAAGTCCGCGCCCGAAGAGGGGTTGCCTGCACCAGAGCAACATAAGAAGCAGTGCATGTAGAGCGAGGCGCAATAGATCCGATGCCTGAAGACGTTGAGGTGATGCGGGACTGTACAGGAGCCGACGCCAGACGCGGAAAATGTGCAGCGTAGCATCTTTTGGAGCTGGAGGACGGTGTTATGACCTTCAAGTAATAAATCTACTGCTATGACCATCCTACTTTCACATAGCCTTCGCGAAATTCATGCGAGCCCTTTAAAAGAATCCTATCAAGCATCGACCGCCTTCGGATAAATAGCAGGGGTGCTCTTACTCGATGCATAAGCACAACAAGTAATCACATAGGCAACAGATATACCGAGTCAACTCGACATGTAATCTGTTGCAGGATTTCCGTACCGAAAACCTGTTGCTTTCGTCCCCTACACCACGCAACAGATAAACCGACTCGGGCAACAGATTTTCCGCTGATTTGCCCGCAACAGATGAACCAGTAAATTAGCAACAGATAATAATTATTCCCCTCACGAAGTCTCCGTATATCATAAAACGCTATGGCGGTGTGCACCCTCCAAAGCAGTAGCACTTCCTTCTGATGCCATTCGGGCCTTGCACGAAGCTCTGAGATTTACTAGTTTTTTAAAGTTAAAGTACTTACAAGTACAGTATTTGTTAGATAAAACTATAGAGTCCTGGAATCGCTACAGTGTTCCGACCCCTTTTCGCTACTACTGGTTTTCGTTTCGTTCTCTAATACAGTATTAGTTAGATGTAGATCTGCATTACCCATTACTTATTACTTATTAAGTACAACGCAGCTCCTGATCAATTGACTTGGAGTTGTATATGTCCATCAACCTTTAGCAAGGTTGCGCCAAGTTACGCGTTACGCTCACGACAGTCATCTGCTGGCATTCTTCGGGTGTTCCTAGAATAATACAGACTTTTCAGCGTAAACCTGGTGCAAGCTTTCACAGCTCATTTATAATTAAATAATGGTAGAGCGAGGCACTTGGTGATGTCCTGCCTGTTGGGAAGGACTCCGTTTTTACAACGAGAGGTAAGCGTCCCAACGTGTATCGACACATCGCCAGTATCGTCAAGTCGACGCTTTAGTTGTAGAGCAGAATGGCGAGTCAGTTTAAAATTTCCTCAGAGCAAGACCCTCCACGCTGCACCCTCGACTGGAGTCACTACACCGCCCAAAAAAACCTACTTGCCTACCCCAACTCTGACAACGAGGTAGAAACCAGCTAATTAGACCTATAGAACTCGTAGCCTTCTATCACAGGCTGTGATCACAGCTCTCGTATCAAATGATATTTGGGATGTCGGACTAGCTCAACAATTGTTTTCGTTCCAATCTCACACATTAGCTAGAAGGTGGTAACTCGGTGATACACTTTTCTTACGTTTACACTGCATCCGTGCAAACTTGACTAACTGACAGACAACTACTTCAGGGGCTTGCTTATTCAACGCGAAGGTTGCGGCGGTACGTCTGGCTAGGAACAGCCCCGGCAGCAGGTGCCGCTGCGCCGGTAGAAGGGGCGGCTCCAGTCGCGGGAATAGCAGGAGTCAGGCCTACAGCAGGGACGGCAGCGGCAGCCGGAGCGGCTCCAGCAGCGGGGGCGGCGGCAGTAGTGGGGGCGACTCCAGCAGCGGGGGCGGCGGCAGTAGTGGGGGCGACTCCAGCAGTAGGCATGGCCGCAGCAACAGGGGCGGCCGGGGCCGCTGGCACTGCTCCGGTGGCTCCAGTCGCTCCAGTAGCTCCAGTAGCCCCAGTGCTTGTTGCACCCATGCTGGGAGCATGCACCGTGCCTGGCGAGCTGTAACCTCCTCCCGTGCCTGTAGTCGACTTGCTGGTGGTGCCCGAGGAGCCGCCAGCGCCGCCACCCATGCCTGACATCATGCTGCTGAGGCCCGATAGACCGCCGCCGCCGCTCGTGCCAGAGGAACCGCCGCCCATGCCTGGGATCATCTTCATCAAGCTTGACATTCCGCCCATGCCGCCGCCACCCATGCCAGGGAGACCGCCCATGCCTCCTCCACCCATGCCACCCATGCCTGGGATCATCTTCATGAGGCTCGACATGCCTCCCATGCCGCCGCCCATTCCAGGGAAGCCACCCATGCCGCCCATGCCGGGGAAACCTCCGAAGCCGAACTGGGCTGCCTCTTGCTCGGCGAGCGCTCCATTCGTACAGGCCACGACGGCGACGAGTAGCGTGGCGAGGTTGCTTCGGTTGACCATTGTCGGATACTGCGGGGGGGGGGGTTGTTACGTTACGTTGGAGGCCTTGAGACGAAGCGGATGACCGATACTTCGCTGGGAAGTGGATTTCGAAATGAGCAGCGGGGGCGTTCTCGCCGTCAAGCGGACGGACAACCTGCTGCTGCTCGTCTGGTGACCCGCAGCACAAGCGAGGCATCTGGCTGCGGAAAGACGCAGGCAGCAGTGGCACCAGCCCAGGGGCTCATGAGTGGCTCTTGATTCAGCCGCATGCCGTCCCGCGCCAAGAGATCGCGGCAGCTGGACTGCCACTGATCGCGTGCAGCGAGGGGCTCAGCGGACAGCTCGGCCGCCAAGCCACTGCGACGCCAGTCGACGCCACTCGCAGCAAAACAGCTTGGAGGAGCTGACCGCAAAAAGTCATCCGCTTATGCAGAAACCGGTGTTCCTATTGAACCAGTCCTAGGCATCAGTGGCGTGGGAGACGTCACTTCAACATACTTTATACTAGGCATTAGTCAATGATATCGCGCCATTTACTCAGTTGAGTTCTCATAATACGTAGGGTATAAATAGAGCAAATGCAGCAAAAGAGGGCCAGTCATTGCAAGGAACAACCATGGAGCGCACGCCAAGTCCGCGAAAAGTGATGTCCCGCTCCCCAGGTCAGCAGGGAGGGCGGACACGCACAACAGGAACAGGAAAGCTGCCGAAGCAGTTTAAGCGTGTTGCTGTCTCCTTTCAACACAAGCTCAGCGTGACGCTAGCTGCCGTGGAGTAGATAGATCTAGACAGCAGTGTTTAAGGGTACCGGTACATAAATACCACTTTGCATGATGCACTTCAGAATACGAGCATAAAATCGTCGGTACATGTACATCTCGTGTCCACTTTGCAACACAATAACTTCAATAATCAGCTATATGTAGTATGAGATCTAAATTACGGTAAGCACATCCTAGCCAGATTTCTTCATCCTTGCGGTAGCATGTACCGGTACTGTCCCCAACGAGTTCTCCAAGATACTATGGTGAGTAGAAGCAGCCCATACAGTACCCAAACTCGCTGATTTGCTAAGACGAGCTTTTGCCAGTACATGTAGCTTGTTGAACTTTGTCCGTCAGAATCATCAATATACAGTAATGCCGTCCCAGCCTGGGAGACTCCCAGGTGCGTGTACTGTACAGTATCTGTACTCGTCACTTCTTACATAGCTCTATTAATAGTGATGAATTCTCAATTTTTGTGTGAGCGAGTGATGCGATAAAGAGTCGGTGACGTTGCCACTGGCCAAATAACTCGATCTGAAGCCCTTGTCACAATGGCCAGAACCACCTGGTGTGATTTGAACGCACGAGGGAGAGGACCCATCACCAGAGATTTGGAGTACACCACCACAGATTTAGGCCGCATCACCACAGATTTGGTGCCAAGCACCAGTCGAACGGCTGGCGCCAAATCACCAGATATTCGGGCTGCAGCACCATAAGAAAGGGTCCCATCACCACTTTATTCGGCTACATCACCACCTGCAAATCTTCTACAGTGTAGTGTATCAGTATTGGCACTGCACATTATTGCCACCATTGTATTAGCGTTGTGTATGTGAATGGATGAGTGTGATGCGTACCGATACGAATTATCATGCATTGTTACGCCGCTCCTACAGCAGCTAGCTAAAACCTACGTCGCTTGGTTTGATCGCATGATTCCCGATTTGAATTGCTGGCAGGCCATGTTGCCGGGCGCCGTCCAGTGTCGTGTGCAAGTGGACCTCTCGCACCGTCGTCGGAGCCTTCGAAGAGTGGGGCGTCATACAAACCTGTTGGGCTTCGAGTAGGAAAATTCCATGTCGAACCCGACGGAAGCGCAGGAGTCTGCAACACGTCATGTGCAGCAGAGATGCAAGCGCGCTCTTCATCTCTCGGTGTTCTATCGGTGGGCAGTGGCTCACTGTTCGCTGCAATATATGCATCTACTGGTCGGTAAACAAAGGGCGCATCTGGACCCCACGGGCGACTGTAGGCATATTCTGCTTGATGCACTGTCAGCCTGGTGGAGGAACCCACCGGCATCTCCATTGCCTGATCAGCGCTCCAGCTCTGGTGGGCGTTCCAATTTTGAATTCCATCCTCATACGTCTGAAAGGTCAGCATAGTTGCGTGACTGTCGATCCGTGGGCTGATGATTGTACCATCTCGTGTTGATGTTGCTGTAGCTGATAGTCGAAATGGAGGTCCAATTGCGTCATCGCATACTCGGATTTGGTTGCTGTTTGTTGATTCTTGCGCCCACGGCCCATACTCAGGCTGGTTACCTATAAATCGAGGAGGTTGGAGCTCGTCGCTCGTAGCACCGGCTACACTTTGCCCTTGGCGTTCCACAGTCTTGTTGGCTCCCCTTCCACGTGGAGCGTGATTGGTGACAAAATCTTGCTCTGGTGCAGGCATTCCAGGGCAAGGTAGACCAAGCTCGCGTGTTGCGTGGATTATATGCAGACACAGACCACATTTGCCCAAGTCCTCGAAGCCGCATTGACAAACCACCCATCTACCGGCATACTTTGCCATTGTATGCGCAGTACATGAATGGACTCGAACGGCAGATTTGTCTTTTTCGGCTCGACGTAAAAATCATTTGCTGCACGACTCTCGGCGTTACCGTATCGTGATGCAAAATCTGAACAAACTGGAGAGGGATATCATCTGCTCCAGCAGTCGGTGTTGCCGACAGTTCTTGCTTTCGTACAGCCATGGAATACAAAGCCATTAAGCGTTGAGACACTGCAGGAGTACTTTGGAACGACACTTGCATCTGAAGAAACACAAGTCGAGACTGGTCCAAACGCTCCAGCATTTCAATTGGCGTAGCTTTCTAGTCCTTGTTTACGAGCTTGAGCGTCTTATGGTACTGCTCAAGCGGGTTATTTGTCGCCACATAGCCTGGTGGCGTCCGAAAGACTTGCCAGTGGCTGAAACGAGGGTGCAAAATCCATTGAGCAATGATGTGACCCGCTACTTTTTGGAATACCACACAAAACTTCGAAGCTGCGCGCCACGCAGCAAGCACGTTCTCCCTCCTCTTCAAATATTCTTCTTCATTTCGGGAGTAGTGGAGATTGTTGAGGTCGCGAAAAATCATATCAATGGTCACTGCTTCCCGTTTGCCTTGTGTGAGGTCTTTCACATTTTGGCAGACATGGAACCAACACATTAAAAACTTGGAGCCAGGTAGAGCAGCTTTTCACGCGTTGTATTGTGCATTATCCGCGTCGAACATGACGAACGCTGGCGAAAAACTGACTAAGAACTTCTCCCAGATGATGCGCTTGGTAAACTTGATGCACCATTCCACATCAACTCCAGTGCGCTGAGAAGTACAAAAGTAAATAATCGGGAAAACCTTACACCGGCAGTCCGAACCCCAAACACGAAGACGGGATAGCGCTGTTTAACGATGCTGTGGGTGCTATCGATGTGAAGCAGCGTCGTGCACCGCGGATCTCGTTGTACAGTGACATAAGTTTCTAACAGGGCGTGGCATGTGACTCCAATACGAAAGGGCGACAACTTGGAGCCCGTGCCAATACTGGGAACCAACTGGTTGTTATCGGTCTTGGTGTCACAGAGAAGAATCATTTTATCACTAGTCACTTGTCTGTCTTCTGCAGCGTCGTACATGTGTGTGCTACACAAAGCAACAACAGATTGTAAAGCTTTTCGCTTGTAAACCTTTCTCCACTTCTTGACGTAGCTTTGAACTTGACTCAACACTGGTGCGGGTCCTGCCAACGTCTGACGCTTTATTTTCTTGCACAAAATCCCTAACAGGTCGACAGGCGTAAACCATACGTGATCCGATAGTCGCTCGTCGATGACTGCCTTCATTGCGTCGGACATCGGGATGGTCTTAGCTGTGGGTGACTCGACGGATGAATCAGGCATTGTGTGATGTCCATCCACGCAGACCGTCGCCAGAGAGCTGGATTCACAAGCTAGTATCCTGTACCGACACTGACACTTCACCCCCCTCTCACTACAGCGTGCTGACGTACACTCCGTGACGATTCTGCGCATCGGATGCCGCGTCATCAGGGTCTCGTCTTCATCATAGGTTGCGTGGTCCAGAGTACACCTCGGCACTTTATCGTTCCGTTGACGACTGCGGCTGGGCAGCGAATCCACAAACTCGTCGAGAGTAGCGTCACTGCTCGTTTCAGAATTCCATATTTCCACCCAAGGAACTCTTTCGCCACGTCGGCGAGGTTGACCGCTGCCGACGGAGGTCTGTTTGCATACAATTAACGGCGTAGATAAGTACTTGCCATAGTTGTCGACATACTCCGTACAATACTTACTGTAGTTATCACTTGTGTGGGCGGGCTCCTCATACTTCCAGCCAAATAGCACGGGAATCCCGTGGACCGTAGGAAGAGGGCAACTAAGTGAAGCGAAGAATGCCACGCTCGTGAAGAGACGTACTTGGGTTTCTTGTCTGCGCTAAAAATAATTTGCAAACAAGAACACGATGAGAGCTTCCGCTCTTCTCTTTTTATAAATATTCGTGCGGAATGAATATAAACGTCCCTACAGTGTGAACATGTTTGCAAATGCACATAGTGGTGATTCGGCCCAATCCAATGGTGATTTGGGCCAATTTAATGGTGAGCGATTCCACCCAAATCAATGGTGATGATTTCCTTTTCACTGGTGGTAGGTTCCAAATCTGTGGTGATAGGGCCCCTCACTCGAACGCACGCCATTCGACATAGAGTTTTGTACTGGAGATGAGCTCTTCACTTGTCTGTGAGGAGGAAAACCTTTTACGTACAGTATTAGCAGGCAGTCATAGTATATGACTGATGCATCTCGTCCTCTTACCTCTTCGCCAATTCGTCCACGGGGCACCCCACGCTGTTGAACCGCAGAGCTTTCGTCAGCTAAACCGCAGCAGCATTGCTCGCTTTCCGCATCCTAGACTATGAGACGCTAGCAGGAATGTTGCTCGTCTCCTAAGCAACCGATATATAAGTACCGCACTATTGTGGTTTATAGAGGCTCTCTAAGTATATATAAGCTCGATGATAGAGCTTACATTCATCGCGAGAGAAGATAAAGTCGATTAAAGTTTCTATTTAACCAATTTGAAAGAGTAGTTTTTTTTAATGGGCCACAAGTTTTGGACACCTGCTACATCGTCCTCATACTTTTTGACTGGAGGAGCAGCAAGTATTTCGGAGACAAAATTTGTACTAGTCAACGACCCGTCCACGAAGCTGGAATTTTGTCTTGTAAAACTTGTGTTTGTTGATGATTATCGAGCACGGTCATATATCTATGCCAGCGCACTCAGTAATAGTTATTGCGAATGTATTGGTCGGACGTCCGGCGATTGCGCGCGACCTCGTTGGCCAGCTGATGGTTCGCGTACAGCGCCTGAAGAGCCTTCATGCGCTTGGGGTTCAGGTACAGCGGGCGGCCACGACGCACGTTGATGTCTTCTTCGCCGAACATGTCGAGGTACGGCGAGCCGAAGTAGGAGCTCCGAGGTCCGAACACGAGCAGCACTGAGGACGAGCGCATGAGGAAGAAGAGTCCGACGCCGGCGCCGCACGTGATGGCATGGTGCGTGCAGGCGCCCATGCCGTCGCTGCGTCGTCGACAGCACTCTGTTCCAGCGCAAAGCACCTGTTCGCACACGAGGCAGATCGCTGGGTTCTCCACCGTCTTCCACGTCTGCTTGCACTTGCTCTTGCCCAGGACTTCCGAGTGCAGGTCGGTGTACGAAGACGCCAGCTTCACGAGTCGAATGTTGGCAAAGTGGAACAGGTTCTTGTGCTGCTGGGCATCGGGCTCCAACCGAAGAGGCAGCTTCGGCATCTCGCGCAGATTTCCACGCGTGACCAGCAGTTCCCGTTCAGCGGAGCCCTTGAAGGCCAGCCCTTGAAGAGCCTCGATAAGCGGCTCAGCGTGACCGTGCTGCTTGTAGCGAGTCTGTAGCTCATCGGATACAGCAGCAGCAGTAGGACGAACACGAAGCTCACGCGCAGCCCGCAGGAGGTACTCCACAAGCGCCTCGTCCGCCAGAAGCTGGGTAATCCTGGGCAGCCCCAATTGTTGGCACATGTCGTGGTAGTTAGTGCTAAGCCGCAGGGAGCTCACGAAATTGGCACTCCACGACGCATCAGGGTCCTGATCACCACGGAAAAATGCACGACACAAAAGTGTCACCTGCCGCATGAACGCCAAGCACGACGATTTGAACAGGAGCTGGAGCTGTCGGCCTTGAGGGGCTGGGCGGCGACGGGAAGTAGCATGCTCATCCGTTTCCACGACCAAAATCACACCAGCATCTTGTGCAAGACGAGCCATAAGTGTCTCGAGTCCACGTTGCATTTCTTCCATTTGCTCTGGGGACGCATCGTCGCTTGTGGCGCCATTCCTGGCACTATTCCTTCCCTTAGCTTCGTTCTGCTCTTCCTCGAGACAGTCGTCTTCGTCTTCAGTTTCCATTTGAGCTAGCTGAATGAGCACCTGAGCCATGTACAGCACGCACAGTGACCGGATCGTAACCAGAATATCGGCCTTCGTCGTCAGCATACTGCTACAGATCGCCACACACAGGTAAAACAGATCCTGGCCCAGGATGGGCTGACCAAGTTGCAGAGGTGGCCCCTGTGACAACGTCTCTAACCACTGCTCAGGCCCCAACGAAAGTCGAAGGTTCTGTGCGATCGGGTGGCACATCGTCTGGTAAAAATCTCGTCGACGGTTAGTGAAGAGCAGCGGCACTCGTCGAAGCGACCGAAGCAGCACGTTGAGCTTGCTGTCGTCCTTGGGTGTAAATTGATCCAGCTGAGGGTCAAGCGCTTCGGGCAGAGACACAGCGACGCGAGTTTTGAGGCACGGCACTGCTGGGTTTAGGATGTTGGTGATTCTCAGCGACGAAAATGAAGACGCCGCAGTCGCGGGGCCAGTGCCGCCGCCGTTAGGTCGATTCGCAGAGTTTGTCCGCCAGTTGCTTCCCTTTTGTCCATTCTTAGACGATGTGTACGCCTCAAACGAGTAGATAGCAGAAGAAATGCCACTCAGCTGAGTGCTTGTGATCGTCGAAGCCACAGATGACCATATCAAGTGCGTCAGTTGCGGCCCTGTTGAGAAGAACCCCTTCTTCAGCGCACTCATCGCTGTTGCCAGGTGCGTCATTTCCGGTTGGAAACGCAGCATAGCCTCCAGGAAAGACACGGCAAACTGGTTCATCGCTCGGATATTGTCTTCACGCGTCCTTTCATCGCCCTCCTCTTCACCATCGCTCATGCTGTCGTCCTCAGAGGCTAGAGCCTCCAACCGACTGGGCAACCCATCGGACAACCACGACAGAATGCTTGTCGTATCTTGCTTGGACTGAAAAACTCGCTCCATGGCGTCGCGATCACGCTCCTGGTCTGCCAACGTTAATGGCGGGCAAATCGGTAGGCACGGCACAAGCATGGAGCTAAGTGCTTGACACAACGGACACAGGAACTCGCCAAAATGCGCGTCGAACGCAATGTTTGTCTGGCTGTGCTCAAGGTTGAACCGAGACTGGGCCCGCACCGATTCGAAATATTTTTGCCAACAGTGCAGGTGGACAGCGTGACCACACAGCGATAAGTGAACTTGCGGCGGGAACACTGTCGCCCCAGCAGCAGAGGTAGACGGCGTACTGCTGCTGCTATCGTTGGCGTTATTCCCCTCAGCGACAGCAGTCTCCACATCTCCAGGAATGTTTTCAAGAGCATGAGCATTAACTCGGCTCATTTGCGCGTGACCAATGTACATGATAGGTTCATCCTTCTCCTTCTGAGAGCAAATAATGCAGTCTGGCGGAGGAGGCGGACGGTACACAATCGTATGCCCAGGCACATCGTGAGTAGCTTCATCAGAGTCCATGCCAAACTTGCCAGATCCAGATCCACCGGCGTCTTCGTCATCCTGATCGTCGTCATCCATCTCAGCGAAGGCGCTTGACTGGGCGAAAGCTTTCTGGCGCGCCATCATCGCAGCGATAGCTCGCTGCTGATGGAGCTTCTTGAGTTGCGCCTTGGACATACCATTCTCAGCCACCAATTCCTCATGTTTCTTCATACCGCTCCAAACCTTAAGCTCAACGTAGGCGTGAATGACGCGGTCCAGTGCCGCTAACTCGTTCAAGATCCAGTAAATCGCCGAGACCGTAGACTTGGACGTTTCAAAATCATGCTTCACCATGTCCTTCGAAAGCGCTACCAACAACCCGACGATACTCAGATCCTTCACTTCGCCCATGTCGCCTTGGTCGCTATCGCTACTCATTTGTACATCCCCGTCATCACTAGACATCGGTTGTCTCTTCACGCGCTTCTTACCACGAGATGTTGTGTCAGCCTCTTCAAACGCCTCAGGGCCATTTCGCAACAGCGCAAGAGTCTGGCGTCTTTTACTCTCGGATAGCACGACCTCGTTTTGTTGGGGCAGGGCAGAGCCACCGGCACCACGCTTCAGTACAAGGACGATCAGGTTGATCAGGTGAATGGTGCGCAGCACTACCATAACGTTCGTCCTCTTCATTCCAGGAGTGCAACTTGTGCCTTCACAATTGCCATCAGCAGGACAGTTCGCGTCTTCCAGTACGAGGCGCAAGATGCTCAGCAGACCCTTCTCCAGCACAAGGAACCGCACCGTGCCTAACGACAAATGGGGAGGCGGAATTTGTGCCACCAACGGGATAGGTGGATCTTCTACCTTCCACGTCTTGAACAAAGCCTCCTGTCGGGCAAATTGGGCCTTTTCGTGGCTGGAGCGGCTCAAGTGATAAAAGGATGGATCGTACTCTTTATAGTACTCCTTCTTCAGAATGTACTTGGTGGGTTCCATCGCGCCATCGCCCATGCTATCATCATCACCTGCGCCGTCACCAAGAGGAGCCACCATGACAGAACGCTTAACCTGCTCATCCGCAACTTCATCCAATACGCGTTCTAGACGAGTAAGATGCTGCTTCTCCTGCCGAGCTGAGATGCCACCATACGGCGTGGAAACGACGAACGTCGTTTGGTCCAGCAACTCGGACAGACGGCACGGATGTTGACTCAAGCGATGGATAATCTCGCGACGAAGCACCGTATCTCGTTGCTCAATAGCATCCAACGGGGGAGTGAGCTCGGTTACAATCCAAATCAACTGCAGCAGCGCAGCCTCCAGAACTCCAACAAGTTTCTCGTCTTCTGCGCCACCGGAATTCGCCTCGCGAGCAGAAATACCGGAGCTCTCGTCACTAGCGTTGCGAACGTTTGCCCACGCAAGAAGCCACTCCGACAGGCCGAAACGATCGAAAAAGATCGTCAAAAACTTCGGGAAACCGACAATTGTCGAGCTCACCTGCACAAGGAAGAGGTCCAAGTCGCGCAGCTCGCTGCACCACGGCGGGCTCGTGTAGTTCAACATCTGACGCTGCATATTCTGCCCATTACGAATCCACAGTCCACAACTGATCTGCGCACAGAGAACCAGAGAGCGCAGCGGATACTCCATCATTCCATAAATCAACATACTTTTCTGATGTCGCACGAAGTCGTTCTGCTCCTCTCCTTCGGCGCCGTTCAACACCTTTGCCATAGATCGCTCGAGAAGCGCACCCCAGTTCGTGATCCAAGGAACGGCACTTCCAGGAGCGGGCGGTGGACCGTAATACAAGCTCTCAATAAGAAAACTTGCAAGTAGTCCGTGAAGAGGATTATGAAATGAAACGGGCTGCGTCGAGACGTCATACTTGACAATCCTGTCTGTAGAGCCCATTAACCGTCCGCATGGTGGTACGAAAAGCTTCAGTCGAGTCGTGGTCATGCCGGCACGATCCAATTGGTCCCAGAAACCTTCCAGCATATTAAATACCATGCGCTCGCGGTCTCGGTTGCGAGTTTCTGTGTCCGCAGCCTCGTGGTAGCGAAGCCCCTTGGAAATGAACGTAAGAATTTTACTGATGTTGGCGTGGAACGCAAACGCGGTCAGCCAGGATTGGGTTTCGTAAGTCACGTGCGCGCGGCCATCCTGTATCCGCACCTGCGGATCAAGGCCCTGAATTTCTGCAAGTCCGTCCAGCCACTTATCCAGCAAATCAGAGCGGAGAAGCAAGGCACTCGACATAGCTGGAATCCCCAACACATATCCAAAGTTTTCAATCACGAAGTGGTAGCGCTTGAATTTGAGCAGCGGGTGGTCACAATCCAAGATATGGTGAACTCCCTGGTGTTGATGAGGCGGCAGCGCGGGAGCGCGCGCCATCTCAAGGGCCGTGTTGATCGTATCCAGCAGCATATCCAGCAGACCAAGCGTCGCCAAGTGGTGCACGATGGATGGAGTCGTGAGAATCTGCACTCCATATTGAAACAGCGATTCTTCGCGCGTGCCCACGCCACAGAAATACTTAAGCATCATCCGGTTGTACACTTTCAGGAACACAATCGAGAACTGCAGCTTCGGGTCTTTGTCGCCCTGCAGCTTGAGATACAATTCATACAGCTCCAGCACAATATCCTTCCGGAAGTACGGGTCCGAGAGGAACATGACCTGGATCGGCTCCTTGCTCTGGCCGGTCGTAGCAAACAATTTATCGCAAAACAACACGTGCAGCTGCTTGGACAGCGAGCAGATCGCCTTCACCCACTGCGTCACGCGCAGCAGCACATCCTCGTCGTGAATAAACGTGTCCTGTACAACACAAACATGCCAACCTTCACTCTTCAGCGCCTGCATCAGCGTCAATGCGTCCCGCAGCGTCAAATTATGGGCCACGATCTCCGACCCGTTCGAGTCAATGGCGCGCACGAGGTCCTCCGCCCTCGAGATGCGCTTCTGCGACAGCGAGCGGATCAAATCCTCGTCGGAGTGGACATCGTCGTTGCAGATCCGCACGTGGAACTGCTTCTCCAGCCTCTGCGCGTCCTCCATGCTGTAGCCTCGCTCCTGCACCAGACCCCGCAGCTCGTTGAGCGTCTGGCGGCCGTGCGCGTCCACGAACTCGGCGTCGAACACCTGCATGGAGCGCTTGGCCATCTCCACACAAAAGTCCACAATAGCCGTGAACAGCGCGTCCGCCACCTGAACAATGTCCTCGGGCAGCGATCCGGCGCTCTCGCTGCTGGAACTGGCCGCCGCATCGCCGTCTCTCTGCCCGTGGTAGACGCAGAAGCCCTCGGGGGCCCAGGCCTCGCTGTCTCCGCAGTCGCAGACGCCTCCGGGGCTCGTGCGGTGGAAAAACACGTCGTGGCCCTCGTGGTTGCCGTTCTGGAAGCACTTGAGGCACAGCACGCACGTCTCGTCCGACTGGCACGTCTTGCAGTTGAACACGATGTCGTTGCGCTGGAACAGGTAGCCGCACAGCGTCTGCGTGCTGCTACGCGGCTTGAAGCGCTCGAAGAACGCGTCGCGCGTCACGGGCGGCAGCTGACCATCACTCTGCAGCAGTGTAGCCATGTTGGATGGTGCTGCATTATCTTGAATCATTACCCTGTCCGCGTGCGCCAAAAGGATGGCGTCCAGGAAGTCGCCCACCTGCTCGAGAGGTACTGAATTAGTCTCCCCACTGCCCCCCAGCGCCGGCAGACGCCGCAATTCCGACAGCAAGCGCGCCATCATGTCGTGGTTCATGTCGGCGATGTTCTGCGTCTGCAGGAAGCGCCGCAGCGTCGCTGGAGAGTCGAAGGCTGGCAGCTGCGACATCGTTCAGCGTCGACGAAGATTCCGGCGGCGGCAGCGCGCGCCTCGCAGCGATTCGCAATGCGTTGGAGAGCGCAGACGACAGCGCGCACGATGAGGTGCTGGGCGGTGCGAGCGGGGCTCTGAGGGACGCGCAGACGCCTCGACAAGCTGAGCTCTCGACGGCACCTCGGCGCGGAGATGCGAAAATGTTGGGACGCCCGTCGTAGCGAAAAGAAAAGATGGAGTGGCGCACATAGTTTATGGAAGTATAGTGAACGGGAGACAAGTTGTGCTGGAAAGATAGCAGCAAGATCAGTTTGGGGGAGATGTGACGAGCTCTTGAATGCGAACTGATCCCATGACGAGTCACTGTTGCAGTGACCAAACTCGTTATCGGGCTAAGAGACTGAGAGGACCATGAGCTCTTTACGTATCGTAGGTTTCAACTGGTTAGCGACCTACGGACCACAACACTGCACGACACATACCAGGTAGCCAATATGCTCGCTCTTCTCTAGCTGTAGACGTGAGCTCCGACCTGGCGAGGCCACGTCGTGCGCACGAGCTCGGCGAAAGGAGGTCCCTGCAGTCTGGCGGCACGCGCGGAGCTGGATCGCTTCCTCCGGACGTCGGGTGAGACTTGGTCCACGTGCTCGCCGAGCAGGTCGCGCCGCAGGGAGTAGCTCGGGTCGTCGACGAAGTCGCTGCTGCCGCGGAAGAGCAGCTGCACCTGGGCGCCCGAGAGCTCTTTGCGGCGCCACACGCGCATGTCGAACACCAGGCCGCTGAAGCCAAACCAGCCGGAGAAGTGTGGCTCCGGCTTGGCAGGCGCGAGTCCACTGATGCACCCGGATCCGACGTTCACGTGGCGCAGCTTGGCCCAGTCGGCGAGCAGAGCGCCGCTGTCCGTCACGCGCTGCTCTCCGTTCAGGTATACGCTCAGGAGCTGAGCGGGCTGATCGCTCCTGGTGAAGCTGGCGCTGTCCGATCCGGCATCTCCGCCGAACGTCACCACGAGGTGGTACCAGTGGTTCGGCGAGAGCTCGCGTGCCACGCAAATTGGCGTCGGTCGGTTGAGGAAGGAGCACCACAGGTTGCCCATGGGGTCGATAGATAGCAGTTGGTGGTGCACGTAGGGCCATCCGCTGGCATCACTCGTCTCTTGGAACGGGAGGTCTTGCGCTCCCAGCAGAATGCCTCCCAGGAACGTGTCGCCATGCTCGGCGAGCGAGAACCACATCTCGATCGAGAACGGATCTGCGTTACCTCCAGCTTCATCTCCATTAGCGGCGAGTATGTGGCTCAGTGATGCCGGCAGTGGCAATGCAGAGCCTCGGTCTCGCCAGCGCGGGTCCATAGCTAGTCCGCGGAAACGGAACGAGTCTGTCAGCAGTCGCGGCTCACGCTTGAAAGCCACTTCCAGAGGCCGCGGCGAGCTCTGGACGATGGCACCAATCTGAAGCCGGTCCAGGCCACGCACGCTCTGCCCATTAATCGCCACGATAATATCACCACGCTCCACACGACCCGAGGCCTCGATTTCACCGGCAGCTCCCGACTCAGCACGGAGGAACTTGCTCACCACCACGCGGTTGCCGATCGAGTTGATCTTCACGCCCAGCCACTTCTGTCGAAGTTCCACCACTGCTACTGTCGGTGTCGTCTGTTCAGGCTCGATACGGTGTGGCGAAGTAGGAAGCTCATGGACGGGAATACCTACGGCCGCAGGCTGCACAACCTTCTTCGCTGTTGGGCTACTCAGGTGTCGCACAAGTTCCGGGACATTCAGCACATTATTTGTTGGGCCCACGAAAGGAGAAGCAGCAACTCGCACATAGTCCGCACTGGAAACTCGATGCAGCGGTAATGCAGGAGCTGTATCATCCTCAAAACTCGCGTCGTCACCGTCACGCTGACGCTCCTCTTCAGCTAACGCCTGCAGTTCCTCGACGACCGTATTCACGTCGGGTCTTGCAGCCTGATCAGGATCGCACATGGCCTCGACGAGCGACCAAACATTTTCTTCCACTCCGACCGGAGGAGGGGGCATTTTGCCTGCCAACACTCGCTCGCGAACCTCGTCATCAGCCATGAATCCCCAGGGCAATTCCTCCGAGAGAGCCTCCAGCAGAGTCATTCCAAATGCATAAATATCTGACGCGAGGTCGGCCTTCGGGTGTTCTCTCAGTAGCTCCGGGGCTTGCCATCTGAGTGATCCTGCCTGATAAGCTGACGTTGAAGTTGCTTCCGACTCTGTCTCCGTTCGGTATCGCGAAAGTGAAAACGAACGGAGGTTCGCGAGTCTGGCTTGGCCATCATCTCCAACGACGATATTCGCGCAGCAGAGATCGCCGTGAATTAGAGACGCTTCATGCAAGCTCTGCAATCCTGTAGCAGCCTGCGCAAGCAGTCGGAACAACTGACGCCGATGATCCACGGACAGGTTAAGGTAGTCTTCCAGCGATGTCACCGTAGCTGATCCGGACTCAGGAGCGGCCCATGGGCTCACAAACGCCATGAACGGCTGTGAGCCAAACGTCGACGCTCCTGCTAGCTGCAGTACGTGCGGGTGGCATACAACATCACGCAGCAATTCGGTTTCTTTCCGCACGGCCTCAACCGCTTGGAGGAGGGCTGCCTCGGACTTCGCGTCAGCTCCATGTCCACCAGCAACGAGCTGCTTGATGAGAAGCTGCTGCACCCCACCCATCCGCTGGCCACGACTGCGCATCCAACACGCACTTGTGATCTGGCATTGGGGTCCCGAGCGGAAGCGAGTGGCTGGGTTTAACGCCACCTCGGCGGGAGAAAGGAACCACGACGGCAGCACAGGCACCTGGACGCCACAGACGCGCACGAGCCTGCGGAACAGCACGCGCAGAGACTCCTCGTGATCCGGGAACAGCTCTGCTCCATCGTCCTTCTGCATTTCCGCTGCGCCGTCGTTGCTGCCGGCGTAGCTGCGCCCCAACTTCTTCTTCTTCGTGGTTCTTCTGGTCACGTCCTGCACCTGCTTGAAGGCGAACTTGACCACTGCGATCAGCTCGCGCTGCTCGTTGTCCGAGCTTCCAGCTGCCGCATCCACTTGCACTCTGGCCGCCAGTTGCAGCGCCTGCTCCACGCGCTCGAGCTCCTCTTCCCACTCCAGCGCCCAGGACGCGTTTGGATCCACGTGCTCGGCGTGCAGGCCGCGGAACGACGCGTCCAGCCACACGTGCAGCGAGCGCAGTTCACGGACAGGGGAGGGGGCCACGGCCAGTCGGAACACGGCGCACTCGGTGGCAGCAAGACTCTCCAGCAGGAGCGTGAAGCGCGAGAGCGCTGCGTCCACTTGTGTCGGCCACTCGGACTCGGCGGGGCTCATGTCGGTCGGCGCCGGCTTCTGCTGGCGGAAGTGGTCCGTGTAGCCGCAGATGGCCACGAGCCGTCCCAGTAGCGTCTCGCACAGCGGCCGCAGCTCCCACGAGCGCTCGCACAGCGACTGCATCGCCATCAGCGCGGGCTCCATCGTTGCTGGATAGGTAAGGTCCAGGATTCCGTAATGGGAAGGTAGGACCGACCGGTCGGTCACTGGGTCAAGGATAAAGAAGCTGGAATGTCCAGCAGATCGAAGGAACGCGAGCGAGCGAGCTTCGAGCTGGGGCCACGGGCGGCGAGCACGCACGATATCGCGCGCGTGACGTCTAGGGAGCGTCCGTGGAGATCGTGAGATGTGACTCTGCGAAGAGAGACTTGCCCAAGCGTGGAGTGGACCGTAATATCCGCGTCGCCTCGTCGTGGCCGTTCTTGAAGCTGAAGCGCAGTGTATGTAACTCGAACAGAAAAGTCGTAATGTAATGGCACCTATCCTGACGGCGTCGCCTTCAGCATTCTGCAGCTGTGACTTCGGGTGAACCGGAGGAACGAAAGGGAGGGTTACTTCGCTTAGCTGGCTGGATCTGTCTGCACTAAATACTGCGCGGCACCCGCACGGATGCCGCGACCCATCTCGAGAATTTCGTTGCTAAAGGCGGGCAGCGTTAGCCCAAACTGCATCAATCGTTCACTCGCTGTTTGTCCGCCCTCGCCGTCCGCAAGTTCCAGCATCGCGTAATCTTATCCTAGCGCGTTGTGGATCCTACATGTACATACCTGACCTCCCATCGTGGGGCCTCTCTTGCTACTGCTCAGTGCAGGTCTTCCAGCTCCTCGTCGGTCTCTGCTCGACGAAGCACGAACTCGCCGAAGTGCGGCGCACCATCAGAATCTTCAGCTTCAAGCGCACGCAGCTTCGCTATGATCTTGTGCAGCCCCGCAAGCGACGAAGCCGTCACGTCTACTCGGCGAGCAACAAGGCTTGGCGCACAGAAGAAAAATTCCGGGCTGTCGCCATTGCACTCATCGCTGTCGTCTTGATGCAACACCATCGCCGCCGCGTGCCTTAGCTTGTCGCAGCCCGCGAGCGAATGCAATTGACTCCACGTTGATCGGCTCGGCACCTCAATGTAGGAGCGCACAAGAGTCGCATCGTTTGCTCCATTGATGTCTGGTTTCATGAGCGACATGAGGACTCGAAGGTGATCATGGGGGTTGGGCGAACTCGTCTCCTTCAATACTTCTCTAAAACAGCCACTGGGCGCCAGCACCGACTTGCAGTCCCGCATTACGTTTGCTAGCGTCTTCCTCCACGTCGTCTGCGCGTCCTCGCTGCCTTGAAGAGCTAGCAGTGACTCCCCAAATGCAGCATTCCACCCCTCCGAACCCAAAGTCGACAGATAGGTCAGCAGGCCATACAGCGAGAAAATAATGCGGCCCGACGTGACGTCCTCTGCTGTGGGCCTTGCATCTGCTCCAGAAATGCTATCCAGGTAGCTCAGTACTAAGCGCTCTCCAACAAGGTTGACCAGCGAGGATAGACGGCACGTGCTTGGGAGCAAGTTCCCACACCGCTTCAAAAGGATCGCACGAAGGAGTGCAGTTAGTACAGTGTACGCTTCGATATCGAAAACCTCACGCCTCGACCGACCGTGACGTTCGCAGAACTGTAATTGCGCAGCAATCTTCGTTTCATCCGAGTCTTTTTGCTGAGTCGCAATTCGCACACAGAATACTGGTGTATAGCTCGATGCACTGCGTAGGTTGAAGTAGAACTGGCCAGGGACGCACGTGCCAACAACGCATTCAACTCGTTGCGCGTGCTCAAGTGCCCTCGATAGTTTCGCCTCTAGCCCCGCCAGTTCGATTGGATCAGCCTCGCTCGGAAATACCAAACACAGCTCAACAACACTTGAACTTAATCCCAAAAGAGTCGTATCGATTCGTTGAACTGCTAGCCGATCATCTGCCCCAAGAACATGGGACCACGCATCGTCAACGGTTCTCACACCAGCAAAGATTGCACTCCGAGATTCCTCCTCAATGTTGACGCCGAACAAATCCAGTACAGAAGTGATGGTGGAGCATGCAGGCGTCAGCGAAGCGATAGTCTGCACCACTTTACCTTGAAATCCAACCCTAATAATGCTCCATGCCGTATTTTTAAGGGGCAATTGCATTGGAGAGGCCTCTTCTGTAGTCTGCATAGGTTCCACCAGCGTCATCACAACTTGAACCTGGTTTATCGCGTCAACCTGATCCAGATATTTGCTGATGACACCTCCAAACTCTTGTAATGAACAGGGATGAGGAATTCCAATCATATCGTCGAAATGATGGATTGGATCGAGCAGGAATTGGTCTTGTAGCCTTTCCAGCAATGTTGAAAGTGACGGCGACGAAAACGAAGCTGGATTTCTTTGAACACATAGCATGCGGCGTGCATTAGACTGAGAGCCCATGTGGTGCAGTACTTGAGATCGCCACAATAGCTTGGTCGCGTCGTCTGCAGCGCAATCCATGATGTCATTCTCAGTGACGTATAGAATAAATAGCCTCGAGCACATTGGCGCAGCTGCAGTCACTTTCGACACATTTTCCTTTCCAGCAAACGGTGATGATGTTGTGATCACCCTTTGGTTCTGAACAAAGAGAGCAGCTCCAACGCGCGCGGTGAGCTCAATCGGCGGGTCGATAGTCGTTCGAGTAGCTGCCTTACTATCCAGCAAACCGTTCGAATACGATGCACTTACACCGTCTTGCGTCGACATCGTGATGTGTGGCACTTTGTTCCTCATTTGCAACGGTAGCTGCTCATCCAGCTCCACCCGAAGTGTTTGGCCGTGTTCGTCTTGAACAACTTCAACTCCACGAACAGTAAACGGTGCACCAAGTTCAGCGTCTCGGGTGTACTGCTTATTGGGTCGGTAAAACAGTGTCACGTGATCAGCTAGCTTGTTGGGGTGTTCAAGCGGTACTTTTGCCAGCATCTTCTGTTGGGCCTCTTCGTCCAGAAAGAGGCCAAGGTAGGTCACTCCACCAACTTCGCCATCCGAGAGAGGATTCGCAGTAAGCGCAGCATGTTCAAACTGCGGCGTAAAAACCTGAGCACGCGGGTCTTCTTCCCACCGCATGAACATGCTAACCACTTTGTCTGGAGGGACTCCATGCGAATTTCGCTGACCCATTCGATAGGCAGTGAGAACGTCCGGACACTTCATTTCCACAATGTGAGCGTGACAGTCAATCGACCGAGCAATTTCTTCGTACGGTTCATACTCCCACCTCTGCGTGCTCGTATTGTCAACAAGAACAACATGCTGATGGGGTCGACGCTGCTTACCACCGCCTTGGTTGCGTGGCGTATCTCCATGGACCGCCCTCGTGAAATCCCCTTTGCACTTGCTGTGAGCTGCGCCAAGCTTCTTGACATCAAACACATACCCTCGAGAAGTCTCAAAGAAGAAGTCTGCTGAGCACGCCGTGAATGCCGCACCACGTTCTCGACAGATCGCCCCAATCTCTCTTCCCAACGTGCTCTTGCCACTCCCGGGAATGCCGCGTAAAATGACCACAACAGGTTTTCTAGGATCCTTATTGCCGTCAAGCATGTCGTCCACAACAGGCACAAGCTCTGGGTAACGCAGATCACCCAGAGGGTTCTTCACCGACGAAGAATCGTCACGAGTGGGGGGTAGCAGCACGCGCTGGATCTCCTCCCTCCGCTCTCCGACGCCCTCCACCACCACCTGCGTCCACGTCTGCTGTCCTTCCCATCGATACTCTCCGATCTCCCCCTTCCCAAACTCGACGAACGCTGACGCCAGCGGCAGCGTCAGGCGATGCGGGGGCAGCAGCACTCTGGAAAGCACCCCACTGCTCTTAAGTCTCAGCATGAGGCTGCTCGCAAACGCCCAGAGAGCATCCTCCGACGCCCGTGTGAAGCCCAAAGCCAGCGTCCACTCATCGTACTTGGCGTCGTGACGCAACGTTGTCTTTGCCGCGAGCTGCTGGTGCTGCAAAGGCCGCTTGAGCGCCGCCACGACGCGCTGCAGCTCGACCAGCTGCTGCCACGAGCTCAGCCCGCACTCCAGCAGCTCCACGCGCGCGTCCAGGCTGCGAGAGACTGCAGGGCCGCGTCGCGCCTCCAGATCGCGCTCGAATTCGGCCAGAACGCCGCGCAGAGACGGCGAGTCGAGTTCTGCGGCCGCTAGTTGGAGCGTGACGCGCACGCGCACGGCGCTCTGCTGGATGCTGCGCGCGATGTCCTGCTCCGTGGGCTCTCCGGGTGGGCGGCGACGACCGCCGCGACCGCCGGAGGACGAAGCGCGAGGCGCGGAGGACGCAGAGGCGCTCGAGCCGCGGCGGGTCTTGCTCTTGCCCCAGGCCATTATTGCGGAATGCTCCGTCAGTTGGCTTTTGGCTCGGATCGGCGACATGGATACATACCATCCATCTCACGACACCTGTGAAACAGCATTGTTAACAGGATAGATGAAAGATCGTGGGCTTGAAGCATCATGTGGAAAAGATCGCGATGACTGCGAGAATGTATTGGCCTGGTTGAACTAACAACGTTGACACGCATCGGCTGAGCCAGTCACCCGAGAACTCGAAATAAAATAACGTCGACTTGCCTGCTCAGGACAGATAGCAGCAGCCTAGAGAGGGCGCGGGAGCTGCTCGTCCAGCGACTCGATGAAGCCCGGCACGCTGCGGCTGAACTCGTTCACCTTCTGCGTTCGCTTGCGCAGCTCTTCTTGCAGCTTGGCCTCAGCGGCGGCGACTGTTGGTGGCAGCGAGGCATCAACCGCTGCGCCCTCTCCAAAAGCCGCGGCAGGAGTCGAGGCCATGGCTGCTGACAGTCTGTTGCGCTCTTCCATCCCCCTCGGTCCAGCCGCGGCATATGCACTGGGGTCCGCCTCAATCAGCGCCATCCCTGCCGACTCTGTTGGATAGCCACCGGACTCGCCCGCGTACTCTTGCAGCTCGCGCTTGAGACTGCGCACTCTCTTCTCCCACTGCTCAATCTCCTTGGCCTGCGCCGCGTTCCGGTCCTCCATCTCCCAAGCTCGCACGTCGTAGTCCAGCGTCTGCGACCGCAGAAGCTGGCACGTGCACCGGAAAAGCATTTGCGCTGACGACTGCGAGATACAGGTGGACTCGCTCTCTGCTCTCGCCTTCCGCTTCCTCCGCCGATCCGGCTTGGCCGCTGCCTTCTTGCCCGTTGCCCCCTTGGCCTTCAACTTGCCCTTCAGCCCAAGAGGCGGCAGCTTTGGGGGCTTCGCCACAGGCTTTGCAGTCTCCGCCTCATCCTTCTCCTGGGCTTCCTTCTCTGGGAGAACTTGAGCTCCTCCCACGGGCGAGTGCACCGTCGCCACCTCGTGCTCCAGCGCCTTGGGAGGCTGCTTCATCGCAGCTTTGGCTGCAGCCTTCACGGGAACCATCGGGGGAAGTCCAGGGTCTGCGTGCACCGCGCATGTGTCTCGCTGGTGCTCGTCCTCGCTGGACGTGCGGTCGGGCGTGTCCTCCTTGCGACCATCACTCTGCATCGCCTCCAATGCGCGCTTCTTGGCGTTGGACGACGACGCAATGAACACAGCCACCGGATCCACTTGCATCTCCATGTCGATCGGTCGTTCCGGCACCATGACGCCCCCCTCGCTTGTTGCTGCACTGAACGCCGGCGGCATCTCTCTACGCTCCGCTGGGCAGCTTGAGGTTAGCGGAGTTGTCCCGCAGCAATTGGTACACCGGCTCTACACAAATGTACCTCCGAAACGGTACAAGTTATGCACGACAAAACCATCATTGTGTATTGACACACCATCATCGTTGTTCACGTCAGCCAAATTGCTTCAGAACTCGCTGCGTCTCCAGCGCGTCGCCATGGCCGCCGCGCGCGACCCGAGTCTGCTGCAGAAGTGCGAGCAGTTCCTGCTGCACCCGACGGTGCGCGCGCTGTCGCTCGCGCAGCGCGTGGACTTCTTAGAGAAGAAGGTAAGCACAAACTCTCCTCTCAGTAATACCCCTCTCAGTAATACCCCTCTCAGCAGTTATTAATCCGCTGCATGCCTGCTGCAGGGCTTGTCCCCGGAGGAGATCACCCAGTGCCTCAAGAGCGTGGAGCGCCGCAATGGTCTCTCGCAACTGGCGCGTCGAACGGCCGAACAATTGGCGTCCAGCGCTGACGCGCGCGCGCTGCAGGCATCAGACCGAGCTTTGGCAGCCCCCAAGTCGCCCCTGAGGCTGCTGCAGCTGGCCGTGAAGAAGTATGGAGCTGTGGCGCTACTATTGGCTCTGCTGGGCTACGGCTACGTGCAGTTCAAGCGCCGCAAGGAGCAGCAGTTGGCGCTGAACTATCAGACGGAGAAGCTGCAGCGCAGACAGCGCATGCACTCGCGCGTGGAGGCGCTGCTGAATGTGGTGAAGGACCAGCAGACTCAGTACCAGCAGGCGGCCGAATTGCTAAGCGTGCGTGTGGCCAAATACGTCACAGCGCAACAAGCAACGACGAATCAGGCCGCAGCGACCAAGGCGAGCTCGTCGGCGACGCAGTTCACTCGGGGGCTGGAGCTGCAGGCGCTGCAGACGGAGCTGTTGGAGCTCAAGGGCGCCGTCATGGACACTTTCCTGCAGCCGAGAGTGGAAACGAAGGTGGTGGAGGTGACCAAGGAGGTGACCAAGGAGCTGCCGATACTGCTTCGGCCAGCGGAAGTGAGCGTGTCGGACAGAGTGGCACGACAAAGTACAGCAAAGATCGTGCGTGACTCTGCTGGGCGTGTGGAGAGCACGAAGCCCGTTGCAGCTCCCCACGTGGAGAGTGATAACAAGCAACCCGAGGCTCCAACTCATGAGGAAGGCGCTAAGACTACAGTCGAGCGCAGACGAGATCAAACAACTATGACAACCGCTGAAATTACCGAGCTGTTCGGACAGTTCGACGAGGAGCTGTCGACCGCCGGAAGCTATCGCATGCTGTTCGCGACTTCATAAGTAACGTAGAATTATCGTAATGAATGCAAGCTGGACTTTGGATGTAGCTAAGCCGGCGTTTTGCTGCCACGCCAGTCAATGACCACGCTCTTGCCTTCAGCTGGACGCGTGCACCGAACAGCGCGCGTGTTGATCCAGGAGCCATGCCGGTCATGAGGGCGCTTGATCGTTGCGATGGTCGAGAAGCCGCGGGGTTGTCCGCAGCGCGAAAGTTCAGCGACAGCGTCGGCGGGTAGCACCGAACTCCAAACGTGAAATTCGTCAATGAGACCGTAGAACGAGTACCATCCGCCGCGCATCCTCGAGTGCGGCATGTGATCACTTCCAGTGGTATTGAGGCAAAAGCCTGTGCCGATTTGTTCGTGTGGGTGTCGCTGCCACATGCTGTTCAACGTGCCGGTCTCGGACGACACAACCTTCCCGTCGAGGTACACTATCTGTCGCTGAAGGGCGACGTCGTACGTGAGCGCCAAATGGTACCAGCAGTTCGGCTTCAGGGCTTGAGCTACGACCTTCTTGTCATCCAGGATGGAGCAGCGCAGGTTCAGCTTCATGTCCACCATCACAAGGTTACCCGGGTTGCTTCCTGGTACACCGTAGCTAGCAGGATCAGCCTGGAATCCGTAGATGACACCGCCAGCGGGCTGCTTGGCGCTCCCAGGGAAGAGGCAGAACCACACGTCAAAGCTGAAGCTCGAGTCCTTCTCCAGGCGAAGGTCGAATCTGCTGCCGCGCCAACTCCCAGGAGCTGGAGGACGCTCCAGTTTCGCGAACGCCACTCGAGAGCGGTTGCGGCCCAGCAGCATCCCGTGGATGTACTTGTCCGCCGAGTGAGGGTCCACGAACTCCAGGGACCGTTCCTGTAGATACCGTTGCTTCCAGCTCTGCTTCCTTCCCAGAGAATGGTATCCGGACACGCGCTTCTGCCAGTACAAGTCCTCCGACAAGACGCTGAGCGTCCACGAGTTGGTGTGCGAGAGGTTGAAGACGTCGAAGCCCGTGAGGAAACTGGAGATCGCGTGGAGGTTGTCCACCGACAGCACGTGAAGCCACATGACGTCTTGGTGAGGCCTTTCGGACTGTGAACGGTCTTCGCGAAGAATCACCAAAGGAAGAAAGGACGACCAGCTCCTTACTCTTCTTCCATGTGAAAAGTGATGCATGTCTTCAACCCGCATGTAGCCCGATAGTGCTCTGCTGACTAAGTAGGTTGCATGACCCACCAAACGCACTAACAGCGCGACTACGCTCACCCAAAAGTTGGTGAAGGCGCTGGCCAAATCCAACTTTGGTCAGGAGTTGAAGCAAGCGAAAGTTGCTGAGAGGGAGGTGATGGTGAAGACGTTGTTCGAGAAGAAGGCCATCTTCAACACCTTGCACAGCAACGAGGTCACGCCGGGAGAGTTGTCCGGTATTAACACGGCAAAGATTCCATCCGTGAACGCTGCTGTGCTTGCCCCCCCCCCCAATTACGGATTTGTCGGAAACGAAAAGCCTCCAAAAGTTATCTCGTGGAGAACATCACATTTGACTAGGTAGGAGTACTTCGTATAGCAGGTAGGAGATGACGCGACCCGAACTTACGGTTCTTAACCACACGATCAAACGGATGACTTGGTATGATCAAACGGAATTCTGCTACTTGTACGATTACCTGCTGACTACTGCTGAAGGTAGCCCCGTCAAATAGCTGTGCAAACTCTGCCAGCATCCCACAAACGCAGTTTGCAACCTCCACTCCAACACCCGGGGACGCCTATGGAGCTCGGCGATGCGTTCCGATGATCTTGTGCACGGTACCCGATTCACTCGTAAGCAAGAAGCTTCCTGTCGTAGGGAGAACCACGGAGCTTGCGACCTTAGAGGCCCCTCCTGGCACCCTGCTAGCGCCAGAACTTCTCGCTCACTCAGTGCTCCCCTCCAAATCCGGAACTCGTCCACCAGTCCGTGGAAATTGTGCCACCCGCAGAACGTGCGAACACTTCTGGGCCTCGTGTCGAACTGGAAGCTCGACTTCTGTCGCCAAAAGGACGATACAAAGCCCGTGCCAATCTGCACCTGTGAGAGTTCGCGCCACGAGTGGTGCAGCACCCCTTCCATCTCACTCACGAGTTGTCCATCCAGATAAACCTTCTGCACCCCACGGTCGTACGATAGCACCAGGTGATACCATCGCCCAAAGTCAATGCCCGTAGCCACGCAATTGGCGGCACCGTCCAGCATGGAGCAGAACAAGTTGTGGTCTCCGTCCACTCCGACGAACGCGACGTGGTGGTTCGTCCACGTGCAAGTGCGCATCAAGGGGGACTGGCCGCCGAATAGGACGCCCCCAGTCAACACGCCGTCGTCTTCTCCATCCAGCAGGCTGAACCACGTATCCACTGCAAAGGACGACCCGTGTGTGAAGATTTCTGTGAATGGGTCTCCTGTTGAAGCGTCTTGCACGACGACGACGCTGGACCCGTCCATACCGCCGCAGTGGCGCAGTCGCTCGTCCAGGCGCAGGCCTTCGAACGCGAAGGACCGGGCCTGAGCGTACGCCCTCTTCGGGCTGCAGGCCGGTGGACTCTTGGCCTTTAGTCGTTGACTCCAGTGCGAGGGCTGCGAGAAGTGCCGCCAGCATTGCGCGTTGACGTGGGAGAGCTGGAAAAGGTCCCAGCCCGTCAGGAAGCAGCCCACGGCGTCCAGCGCGTCCAGCAGCTGCAGAGCCATCGTGTTGGCCTTGATCTTGGGGGCTTGGTGCGTATCAGATACTGACATAGTGATCTCGTCCTGCGGAGACTTGCAAGCTGCAAGGATGTGACACATGGCAGCATGTCCATGAGGCCGCGGTAATAGCGCTAATACAACTTCAACGGGTGATGCCCACGCGTCAATCGTTCGCAAAATAATAAATAATACCTGTAGAGTGTAGAGAACTATTCACCAACAAATGCGCGCACGGATCGGTTGGTCAAGGTAACTTCAACTTCGTTTAAGTTGCTGCTCTTTCCGTTGCGCAACATAGTCGCAACTTCACCGTGACACATTACATTTACATAATCCCGGTTTGCGTCCTTCACTTGCACTCGGCGGAAGTCGCGGCGCTATTGTTGCCCACAAGATGATCGGCGACTTCGAGTACCTGCAGCAGCGCGTGGCGCTGCGCGTGGACGTGATGCGGCGCCACGTGGCGGGCGTGGCCGAGGTGGTGCTGGCGCCCCGCGCGCCCGAGCTGCGCGTCCTGCGGCTGCACGCGCGGCAGCTGCGCGTGTGCTCGGTGCGCATCGAGGGCGTGGAGGCGGCGTTCGAGCAACTTAACTTTCTGGGCGACGTGGTGGACGAGAACTACCGCGACCTGGCGACGTTCGACCTGTTCTACCGCGGCGCCATCGTGGCGTCCAAGGAGGGCGAGCTCATCGTGCAGATCCCGCGCGAGGTTGCGTTCAAGGAGGACGAGGAGGACTCGGGCAACTTGACCAGGGATCAACCTTTGTCCCAAGACCAAGACGACGACGAGGAGACGGAAGTTGGGACGCAGCATGGACAAAAGTTGGTACTGGACGCCTGGGACCTGGAGCGGCTGCCCAAGAGCTCCACGGGCTTCAAGCCCGTGGTCGTGCGGATCGAGTACGACATTGAAGAGCCTTCGGGCGGCCTCCGCTTCGTGCTGCCCGACGAGCAGTACCAGCCCAAGCGCTCGCCGCACATGTACACTTATTGCGGACCTTTCGGCGGCCTCTGCGACGGCGCGCGCTCCTGGATGCCCTGTCGGGACACGCTGCGCGACGCGTGCACGTTCCGCATCGAGCTTACGGTGCCCGACTGGTGCGTGGCCGTGTGCAGCGGCCAAATGGTGCAGCAGGTGCTCAACCCGGAGCCCGACGCCGACGGCATGCAGTGGCGCACCTTTAGGTACGTGGTGAACCCCAAGACCAACTGCTCGTCCATCGGCTTCGCCGTGGGACCTTTCAGACTTTATGTGCCGCCCGAGATGCCCCGGATGACGCACTTCGCGCTGCCCGAGTGCTTCGAGGACCTCGTGCACTGCACGTCCAAGCTGGCGTCGGCGATGACGTACTTCGAGCGCGCCCTGGGGGCGTCGTACCCGTTCAAGACGTACCAGCAGGTGTTCGTGGAGGATTTACCGGATCAACTGCAGTACATCGCGGGAGGAGCTATTATGGACCAGAATCTGCTGCACGGACCGAGGATTATCGACCGCGAGCTGCCGTCGCACTTGGCGCAGGTGAAGGGACTCGTGGGCAGCTGGATTGGAGGCGCTGTGGGGATCCAGAGCACGAAGGACGCGTGGGTGCTGATTGGAGTCATTGGACACTTGGTGAACACGTACGCGCGGTCGATCTACGGCGAGGAAGAGTATGGATACCGTATCCAGTTGGCGATGGATGCGTTGACGACGATGGAACTCACGACGGACCAGCAGTCGCCGGCATTGCTGTCTTCGGAGGTGGATGTTTACTCGGAATACGACCCGTTGTCGCTCACGCTGCTGGAAGTGAAGGCGCCGCTCGTGCTGCACATGATCGAGCAGCGCGTTGGCCCCAAGCACTTGAGCATCGCAATTCAGCGTGCGGTTTCTGGCGGAGGCGCAGGTGGCGCGGCTAGTAGTACTGCAGCTGCGGGGGCTGATGCTGCGTCTACTACCAATGGCGATGGGAATGACGAAAATGGCAAGGATGACAAGAAGCGTGATGGAGATGAAGAAGCAACCGATGGAAGTGGTGAGAATGCTTCTGCCTCAACTGGAAAATCGACGGGAACTTCGGCTTCGACTGAGCCGCTGACGACGTTGTCGTTTCTGAAGACAGTGAAGACGATTGCAGGGGCTCCAGGCCAGGACCTTACGAAATCGTTCCTCACCTCGTGGATTATTGAGCCTGGAATGCCCTTCTTCACTGTGGGTTACTGGTACAACCGTAAACAGACGCAGGCCGAAGTGGTTCTGCAGCAGGAGATCCCTCCTGGTGGAAAGCTGTACACGGGCCCGATCACGATTACGATCGTAGAGGATACGAGTGAGTACACCTACCAGAAACGAATCGAGCACAAGCGCCACAAGTTTGACTTTCCGTGCCACTCGAAGGTCCGCAAGAAACGACGAAAACGCCAGGGACTTGCAGATCCGGACGACTCCGTGTCGGTTGGTGGTCCTGGCATGGGATTGAATGATACTCCTGTCTTCTGGGTGAAGATCGACACGGGTTGTGCGTGGTTACGGCATGTGGTGATGCATCAACCGGACTTCAACTGGATGGAGCAGCTCCTGTCCGACAAGAAGGTTGGGTCGCGAGTGCATGCGGCTCGTGCATTGGCGCTGTTCCACCGACCACATGAAAAGCCGAACGTAATGTCTTGCCGCGTGCTCACCGAGTGTATGAGTGGTCTTACTACGCACTCACGGCGGTTGCGCGCTGAAGCTGCTCAGTCTCTCGGTATCTGGCAATCCATTCACGCGCCGCTGACGAACGCGAACACACAACTCCCCATTTGGAAGGCGATGCACAACCTCGTGCGAATCTTCAAAGAGCATTTCTTCGACAGAGCCACTGACATGCCACTGCCGAACTATTTCTTACCTTCCGGTGGTAAGGTTATCCTCGAGGCTCTGGGGGCTCAGCAGGCGTCGATTTCCAGCAAGCAGATTCAGGTGCAGGACTACGCTGCTGGCGAGTACGAGATCAAGAAGAGCATCCCCAAGGCACTAGCAATGATCCGAGCCCAAAACGGCAAGTCACCTCCAGAGATCGAGACGTTCTTGCTCCAGCTACTTACCGAAAACGACAACTCCAAGAACTACGTGGAGATGGACGACCAATCGCAAGTGGCTGACGACTGCTACTACATCGGCAACCTCGTGCTGTCGCTATCTGTATTAACCGTCGACAGACCTGCGCGTTCTGAGGAAGGGGATGTTGTGCGCGAAATACTGCGCTACCTGCACTACGACCAAGTCCAGCCAAGTTACAACAAGACCATCACGGTGTGCTGTCTTGAGGCTTTGTGTAATCTGGTGCTGGCCGGGCGCTGCGAGGAGAAGCTGGTGAACTTCCACTCGTTTGCGTCGCCTAAGCACTCCAACCTCGTGCGCAAAGCTGCGATCGAAAGCATTCTGCGCTTATATTTCGCCGAAAACCCGAACGGTCAGAGTGTTGTCGATGGGAGCTCATCGTCGATGGGGCTGAGCTACTCTCAGAAATCCAACCGAGGATCAGCACGAGCAACCTCTTCCCTTCTAGCGAATAGCTACGGCGCCACGGCTGCGATGCTATGGCTTTGTGAGCTGTTGAAGGCCGAGCAGTCCCCGGGGATCCGATTGTTTGCTGTCCAAGTGTGTCTGAACTGCATGCGTGGGTTCCCGCCTGGCGTAGGGAAGGAAGTGCTGGCCACGTGGGACCACAGCTACACGCTGGGTCTGATGAATTACATCGAGATGAAGGAGCCAACGTCGTTTGTTCTCAAGAGCCCCGAGAAGGTCAAGGTGCTAGGACTGTTTGACCGCCCCAACCTGAGCAAGCTTCGTGACGACAGCAGCTCGGCCAAGCGCATCGTGGAGGAGTTGTGGAATCTGATGAACTCAACTGCCGCGATGGACCAGAGGCTGCGCGTGGCGCTGATTGTGCTGTATCGGAAGGTGTGGGGTGAGACGACGCCAATCGCTGTGGCTCACATTGTCCAAGACAAGGCGGCGAACTGGGCCGGCGGCTACGAGAGCCTTCGCCTCATGATGGAGGAAAGCAAAAACCGGATGCTGATGAACGGCGGGGGTCGTGGCGGTGGCAACACTGCGGGACTCAACGGACCCGACGGCGGCAATGGACTCGGCAGAAAGACTGACGACGACCGGAAGAGAGGCTTCGCTTCGGCCGCCAGCAGTCCGGCCGACGCCGCGCTCGAGCAGTTCCGCGGGAAGAAGTTTAAGTTCAAGATGGGCGACACCACCTTCCGGTCGCACAAGTTGTAGTTTCGCCTACAATAGTTGCCCAGCAATACACAGACAAGTCGTGTGCAGTATCAGCTGAACGGTGAGTGGTGCTGTCTGTTTATTGATGATTCTCAGGCATGGTTATGCTACGCAGTTCCTCCTCCCTCCCTCTTTGCTCGCCCAAAGCTCAAATAACCAATGTTGGAAGCTGCTGCGTTCACACACAAACCCAACCCAAAGCGCCAACCTGTTCATACTTGCACCTTTGCCACTTGTCACTCAACGATCCGAACGCCTCCCACACGTGCCCTCCGTCAACGTAAACGTCCTGACGCTGAAGTTTCACGTTGTACGTAAGTGCCAAATGATACCAGCGGTTGGGCGTCACTCGATGAACTTCTCGCTTCTCGTTGAGCACCGAGCAGTACAAATTACTCTCCGCGTCAACCAGAGCAAATTGCTCAGAAATGCAGCGTTGGTGAAGGTGATTCGACACGCGACTAGCCTGAGCGCCGTAGATGACCCCACCACAATGCTGTACAGTGTTGCTTGGGAGGCTGCAAAACCACAAGTCGAAGCTGAAGCTGTCGTGAGTCTCGGACCAAAAACGGAAGCGATGATTCCAAAACACTGGGAGGTCGGGAGGTTCCAGTAGCGCATAGGCCAATTGTGAACTTTTCGAATGCCGCCTATAATTCGAGTTGTGGTCGACGAATTGGAGAGATCGAGCCTGCATGTATCGGCGTATTGATCTCTGAATCGACCGCGAGGCGGTTTTGCCACAATGAGTTGTCGGACAAGACGCGGAGAGCCCACGAGTTGGTGTGCGAGAGGTATTAGACGTCAAACCCAGAGAGGCAACTGCATGTCGTGAGCAGGAGATCAGCCGGCAGCAAGTTCAAACGCATGATTCATAGTCAACTGCAGTGAATGTTGCGGCGATCTTTGTCACGCCCTTCCGGGATGCGACACGATCAGTACTTTTCATCCGATAATAGTTTTGTTTTTTTATAGGCCATCTCGATCGAACCTCAGTCGGGACATGACGCGCGCTGCGATAGATGGCAACGCCGAACGACTGCCGACGACGGCAAGTCCTAGCGTCTCTGGTTCCAGTGAAGGCTCGTGAAACTCGCCATGATATCTCGCTGGTAGGTTGGCAACATGGCTGCAGCAAATATTTTTTTTGTTTCGAGCTCACACACTTGTGTCTCCAGACTGACTACGGCGCACACAGTGCATTCACCCCGCGTCAAAACCAAACACCCGACGGCGATACGGGGCAGATCGAGCAATCTGCAAGACATCGAGAGGGGCACGAAAGCGATCAGCCCACTCCTGGTTCAATTGACACCAAGGAATTGATTTACAGCGATATCGAGCACGTTCAGCAGCAGTGGGTGGAGCACCAGCAAGAACGGCTCGACTTGTTGCTTCAGAGTCCGCTTGCAGTAACTCCACCGCGACCGTCTAATGCGCAAAACTCCACACTTGAGCTTCGTTCGGGTAGTTATTCCACACCGCTGCGACAGCTAGACCACATTGAGCGGCTCTTTCAAACGTAAGCTACAACTTGACTAAAGGATGATTTCCTTTTACTGTGATCTGACTGAAGTTCTTGTAACAGAGCTGGAGGAAGCTTGCCGACGTCGACCGGGAGTACAGATTACCTGGTAGCCTCACAATGCTACGCCATGGTAAATTATCTCCTTTCGCCGTGTTAAAATCTACCATCAAACTTGCTGACAACCGATCGCATGACGATATCATTCAGGCTCTCGAGCAATTGACAGTTCTGACCAAGTCACTTCAAGACCAAAAGGAGTAAGGATTCGCGATAAATATGCCCCCAAAGCACCACCAAGGCGGTTAAACGAAATACATGTATGCGAGCCGACCTCCGGACATACCCAACCGATATGACGACTGGCGGATTCAAGTAAGCATTCAGGGGCGTTTCACGGGCATGACCGAGGGGCTCCTCTTTCAATTCGAATTGCAAGTGACCTGCGTCATGTGGGGTCATCTATCGACAATCCTTCTGGAGATTTCTGCCAGAGATTGCTACTGTGGTTGCTGGGTAGTCATCTCGAGATGTTTAAGCCGAGGCTTCGAGCTACAGCCCCCGTTCAGCAAGAGCGTCAATTTGACCCATGATGAAGTCCATAGCTCGCAGAAGAACGCAGATGGTTTGGCCACTCTCCAAAACTCGAAAGTTGAGCGTGAATCGATTGCTGCGATCTTGACAAGCCCGACGCAGCGGTGGAGTGAACCAAGTTTCTCGAGCCTTGCTACTGGTGAGGTCTGTCTCTGCTCCTCACATCAACGCGTTTTTAACTGCGTTCGTCCACAAGGGACGGGGTGTCATCCCATACATCTTCCACCCTCTATGTATCTCCACTTCAACGCGCGTGACATCCCTTCCCGTGCTTTGCAATCTTTCATCACTCAGCCCGACCGACGTCAGTCTCCGATCCACCAAGCAGCGCACACACCAGACCCACCCCCTTCCTCCCTTCCTCATGGTGCGCTTCACGGTCCTCTCCTCGCTGCAGCGGTGCGTGAACCGCGTGCTCGTCGTGGGCGCCCTCGAGACGCTGCAGGCCCAGGGCGCGGCCGACAGCTTCCTGCAGCAGACGCTCGTGGCCGCCTCCGCGCGCGGCGTGAGCTTCTCCGCGGGCGCCAACCCGCTGCTGCTGCAGCACGCGCTGGACACGCTGCGCCCAGGCGCGGACAGCGGCGCCACGTCGGAGCTGCTGCTGGCCCCCGAGGCCAAGGGCGTCGACGCGCTGCACGTGACGCTGCACGCGCTGCCCACGCAGGTCTCGCGCTCCAACAGCGCGGCCCGCCCGCACGCCATCGCGTCCTTCGTCAAGGGCCACAGCGCGCGCGTGGCCAAGCGCGACGCCAAGGACGATGATGACGACGTCGTGCTGGTCGTGCTCATGCTGCCGGGTCACACGGACACGTGGTTCGCGGCGGGCGCGGCCGTGGCGCGCGCTGCGCCGCTGTACGAGCACAAGCTCAAGAAGACCAACGCGCTGCCTCCTGTGACGGCCGCCACGCCCGACAAGCTGCAGGTCGTGTACCAGACGCCGCTATCGGGCGAGCAGACCACGCTCGTGCAGCATACGGCGGACGCCATCCAGCTCGCCGCGCGCCTCGTGGACGCGCCGCCCAACGAACTGCACTCGGACGCGTTCATCGCCGAGGCGCGCGCGGTGGCCCAGCGCACAGGCTCCAAGATCACGGTCATCCAGGGCGACGAGCTGCGCGACCAGGGCTTCGGCGGCATCTACGGCGTGGGCAAGGCGGCCACGCACAAGCCGGCGCTCGTGTGCCTGAGCCACGTGCCGGAAGGCGCGGCCCAGGACGCCAAGGGCGTGGCCATGGTGGGCAAGGGCATCATCTTCGACACGGGCGGCCTGTCCATCAAGACGGGCGGCATCATGGTCGGCATGAAGCGCGACATGGGCGGCGCGGCGGCGCTGCTGGGCGCCTTTGAGGCCGCGTGCCACGCCAAGAACACGACGGACAAGACGCCGCTGCACGCGGTGCTGTGCGTCGCCGAGAACTCGGTCGGCCCCGACTCGACGCGCGTGGACGACGTGCTCGTCATGTACTCGGGCAAGACGGTGGAGGTGAACAACACGGACGCGGAGGGCCGCCTCGTGCTGGCGGACGGCGTGGCGTACGCTGTCAAGCACCTGAACCCCAAGGTGATCGTGGACATGGCCACGCTCACGGGCGCGCAGGGCATCTCGACGGGCAGCCGCATCGGCGCCATCTACACCAACAACGAAGAGCTCGAGGGTCTGGCGGTCAAGGCCGGCAAGATCTCCGGCGACCTGGTGCACCCCATGCCGTACGCGCCCGAGTTCCACCGCCCCGAGTTCAAGTCCACCATCGCAGACATGAAGAACTCGGTCAAGAACCGCGCCAACGCGCAGGTCTCGTGCGCCGGCCAGTTCATCGCCAACCACCTTGGCGAGTTCGAGAACACGGGCAAGTGGCTGCACGTGGACATGGCCTTCCCGTCGTTCACGGGCGACGACGAGCGAGCCACGGGGTTCGGCGTCGCATTCATCCAGTCGTTGCTGAAGGAGATCGACGGCGCGTGCTGGTAAATATGAGCAGTTTATTGTCCATGAGGTTAGTGCTCTGCCTTAGGCACCTCGACGGGCTTTTTCGGCTTGGTGAGAATCGAGTCCCATGTCTGACGTTTTAAAAACTCGATCATATAGTCCTCGCTGATTTGGCGTCAGGGCTGAAGTGCCCATTTCGATGCCCATTTGGCTGTCCAGCTCCTTCGGTTTGACATTGCGAGCAAACATCTTGTTGAAGAGGTGAAACTGCAGCCTCGTTCCGAGCTTGTCGAGGTCCGGGGTATGTTTAAGGGATTCGAAGAGCAGTGCTAGGTCTCCGTCCTTGGGGTTTGTCTTCTTCAGCTAATCGTACACCTCGCCATACCAGAACGGTTTCTTCGCCTTCGCTCGGTACGATATGCCGTACTTGAGCCACTGCCGAGTTATCATCGAGCTTCATGGACTTCTCTCCAAGTCGCAACAAAGTGAAAACGTCCGACGGGTGCGTTTTGGCCATACGCCACTGAGCTTACTGAGCCCTGAGCTTGAGGGCTCACTCTCGACGCCAGCTCGATGATCTTCGAGAGTCTCGGGACCGGTATATTCACCCTCTCTTCGCGGGTCGTAAGCTTCGTGTCCGTAGTATCGGGGGTCTTGAGCGATCGAAGCGGCTGGGCACTTGTGCTTGAGGTGTCATGTCTTCGCACTGAGGCAGCGTTGACGTTCACGACGAGAACCACGATGAACAGCAAGACCAGACTACGCAATGCGTACATCTTTATTTGTTTCTTGGCTTGTCGTGGTCTGGGACAACTCGGAAGTGCGGGCAACAGATAGGATACTGTAGATATTGGTGGTGGATGGCGCGGACAAATGTTTACGGGAATTGTATCGCCATCCGGGAGAGTATCAAATGGCAGGACGTACAGGATTACGTTCCGTTACTAAACATGCAGAAGTTGTGTGCATGCAGAAAAAAATAATTTAATTAAAAAGAGGAACTGCAGCTTGAGTCCTTGCGATCCCCATCCATGTTACAAGCTGTAGCTACCCGTGCCCAGTAAATATCGTATTAACAGCGGACGCGATGACACGCACAGCATTTGTAAGCTGCAGTTTCGTGTTGCATTCAGCTGCGACGCCCCCCCCCCCCCCCCCCCCGACAACAACACCCGAGTCCTTGCAAAGAGTTTAGCATTGGTGCCTGGGAGAAGATAGCCATCTAAACCGCAACAAATTCAAATTCAAATTGGTGCTTAAGGACTTAACTCCTTTACCCCTCTCTTCTTTGGCTGCGTCAGTCTTTCGCGGAGCATTTGCTTGTCTATCAGGATGACATCCTGACTCGAACTCTTGAATCTCAAAGCGAGCCGCGGGTGCCGACCAGCGTCGCCAATTACGAGAATGCTAAGCACGACAACGAGTTTATATTCCGCTGAAAATGTTTAATTCATCACCAGAACGAGGGGATTTCTCGAGTCAACTTCTGTTACAGGGCAGCGTTGCGGGCTTTTCGCTGCTCAATCCACAAATCCTTCCCTGCCCAGGTACTTTAAAAGAACGCAAAGGTATTTAATATATACCTCGTTGGTCTTACATCTCAGTAGCGCTTAAGTCCCGGTTTCGAGCTTCCCCATTTCACTGTTCAGGGCCTCCTGTGGGTTCACTTTGCGAACAAACAAGGCGGTACGAAGTTGCAACTGATTTCCGATATAGAAACCCAATCTCACTTTGCTACATGTAGGAGGGGGTGATCCAGTTTACCTTCGCGGATCAAAGAGCACCGAACATGAAAGTACGTGAAATACTTATCGTACCTCTCACGAGCGATACCATACGCGCGGTGGTTCTCAAGCAGCACGTCATAGTTCTTGCTGGGCGGGACCCAATATCGAAAAAGGGTCTTGTAGTCGACGTCTCTTGTGGCCAGCAGCTCGAGCAGGTACTCCTTCTTTTCAGCGTCCGCCCCCCCCTCTCTTCTTCAACAATGCCTTCACGTCTGAACGGAGTGTAACTTCGGTGGCCCAAGACTCAATCTTCTTGATTGCTTTGGCTATAACAGTCCTCACGCCTCTCTCTTCCTCGGCAGCGCTGTTTGTCGACTCGGCACCACGGAGAGACCGCTTATCAGTTTGGATGGATGAGAGACTTGACTTGGACTCTTGAATGTCAAAGCGAGCTGCGGGTGCCGAACGGGCATCGACACTAACAAGAATGGAAAGCGTGACCACGAGCAGAAGAAAACACTTGTGCATCCTTGTCGAACGAAGCAATTCGGGAAGTGAAGAGCCCCAGAGAGAGCTCAGATATCCATCCACCAGTTCTGTAGGCGTCACGCTATCGATTATGTGTTCTTAGGAGTTACTTCGAAGAACTTGCATCACGTAATCGAGAATGAGCGAACTTCTATCTCAGGCTTTACAGCACATTTCTTGTACTGTAAAAAAATACTTAATGACTTATGTTTCAGGGAAGCGCTACGGACTTCTTTTTGCTGGTCAACCCATACACTCCTTCGTATTTAAGTTCTGTTTTTAAAGTAGCTCGAAGGTATATTGCTCGTTAATCTTGCATCTCAGTAGCGCCGAGATGACCGTCTCGAGATTCTTCATTTCACTGTTCAGGGCCGGGGACTTCATTTCGCGAACAAACACGCTGATATAGAAGCGATACTGCAAGCCCTTTACAAGCTTCAAGACCCGGGGTAGTTTTGAGGCTTTCGAAGAGCAGCGTCAGCTCTCCATCCGTTGCTTGGGTGTTCCTAAGCAACGCGAACACACCGTTAAAATCGAACGAATGTTTCGTCTTCGCTAGGTACATTTACAATATGCCGTGCTTGAGTCACTGCAGCTGTCGTCAAGTGCCATTGTTTTCTCTCCGAGCCGCAACAAGTAACGACTCGCCCGGGTGTGATTTGACCATCAACTACATATCAAAATGTTTCGAGCTGAACTTTGGCACTTGGCCTCGACACCAGCTTGATGATCTTCGGCAGTCTTGGCAGCGGTATGTTCACCCTTTTTTCGCAGGTTGTAAGCTTAGCGCCCGTAGCGTCGAGAGTCTTGAGCGGCCGACGCAGTTAATCAGTCGTGCCTCGAGCTTTTTAAGGTCGTTGCACTGTGGCAGCGTTGCTGTTCGCAATGAAACCCACGAAGAACGACAGCAGCAAACCACGCATCGCGTGCATATTTATTTTGTTTCCTGGCTTGTCGTGGTCTTGGATACTTGAGAAGTGCACGTGGGGAGCAATGGTGGTGGAGGGCGGCAGGTTCATAGCTAAGGATCTAATCTTTGTTACGTCCTTACGAGATGAATGCTTACGAAAATTGTAGCATCGTCACAAACGAATTTGTGTGAATCGACAGCAGTAAACGGCACCACGTAGTACTAGTAGAAGGTAGCCATGCAAAGGTCAGTGTCGCTGACCTGACTCAGTGATCGCTTGTTCACACGCATGTAAATTGGCACAAAGTTACTAGTGCGTGTATGCGTTTCAAAACTGTCAATGCTTAGCTCCATGCCTGAACTTATCGAGATGAACAATAAAGTATGTGAAGTAGCCTTGCCATCTCTTATAGACGGGGCCATACGGGTCATGAACTGGGGGCTTTTCACCGTCAAGTACTCGTCGGGTGTGATATCGTGCTTGTAAAGAGTCCGGTAGTCGACGTCTTTCTTCGCCAGCAGCCCCAGCAGATAGATAATCTCTGTTTTGGGCACTCGTCCCTCCCCTTTTCAGCAGCGAGGCCTGAGTCTCCACGTAGTCTAGCTTCCTTGATCCAAGACTTGACCCATTGAACTCCTTAAGAGACAGCAGTCGGCAAGCCCCTCTCTTCTTTCACTGCGGCTGTCGTCGACTCGACGCCACGAAGCGCTCGCTTGTCAGTCTGGAGGGCATGACCCCCGCCCGAGAGACTAGGCTTGGTCACTTGAATCTTGAGATGGCCTGCGGCTGTCGAACGAGCGTCGCCACTCACAAGAATGACAAGCGTGACCACAAGCAGAAGAAGAAAACGCCGATTGTTCATCCTTGCCGAGCGAAGCGATTTCGGAAATGAAAGAGCCCCGCAAGGAGGTCAGATATTTAACCAGCTACAGGGGCTCTGGTCCAGTACAATGCGTCACGCTAAGTATCGGTTATGGTTTTCCCCATCGGCAAGACTGTCTGAGCCAGAAGTCCGTACGCGTTAGCATCACGCTATCGGTCGTTCCGACCAGCCGGCCCGAAGCCCCCAACCGACCCTGACAGTTCCTGCCCAGCTTGAGCTTGAGCACTCTTTGCGCTCCGCGAGAAGAGATAAACTTTGCTTGACCGACCCGCAACATCCCTGTGTTGGATTTCCAACATCATTTTGACCAACTCAGTGCCGTACTTAAACGGAGCGGGTAGGACGTTTTCATTGGTCGATCTAGCCTGGTCTGGAACATTCGCGACCCAGCATCTGGAGCGTTCCAGATTGTCCTCGTCACACGTCGCAGGTTTTTCCGCGACCGCGACCACTTCAACGTCTCTCACAATTCAATTTGCCCCGTGACAACCAAGTCAAAGCAACAACTACCAGTAACGCATTACCGAGCCCTCCACACCACCGCAGACAGACAGCGATGGAGGCCCAGACAACCCACGAGAAGAACCGGCTGCGCGCCATCGAGCTCAAGGTGCAGGACGTGCAGAGCAAGCTCAGCTCGAGACTCCCGGCCCAGTTCCGGCACGTGGCCGCGCTCGTGTGCGGCGCCAAGTGGCGGCTGCAGGCGCTCAAGCCACAGGACGCCGCGGCCGTCGTCAAGAAGACGCGTCTGGAGCTCGGCGCCTTCGACTACCGCGTGAAGGAGCAGGCGGAGCTGCTGACGCGCTGCCTGCTGGAGCTGGACGACGTGCTGAGCCACGGCGACGCCGACGTCAAGAGCGCGCGCAAGGCGCTGGTGCTGCTCGTGCAGCAGCTGTTGCCCCAGGCCGACGCCTTCAAGGAGCGCAGCGCCAAGCTCAAGCAGTTAGGAGAGGACCTGCTCGCAACGTTTGCGGAGCAGACGCAGGCGCCGTCAACTCCCAGCGACAGCAGCTCCGAGTCCGACGACATGCACGTGAAGGCGCTGTTCGGACAGAGTGAAGACGAGGAGGACGAAAGTGCGTCAGAGGCAGAGGAAGAAGAGCAGAGAGAAGATGGCGAAGAGATGGAGGAGGCTGAAGACGCCAAAGAGGACGAGCCCATGGAGCCCGAGACCGAGGTCGTGGAAGACGAAGAGGCCGACGACGAAGCTGAAGCTGAAGACGATAAACAACTCGCTCCTCCACAGAAGAAGGCCCCGCGTCTTCTGCCGCCAACTATGGGTCTTACCCCACAGACAATGGACATCGACGTCAACTCGCTACCGGTGTGGCGGCCGTACTACCAGCTGCAGCGCCGACAGGACGGCATCTACCTCCTCGCGCGCCTCAAGAACATCGACCCGCGCAACGTGCGCGTGCAGTGGAACGAGCACAGCGACGTGCTCCGAGTGAGCGGCTTCCGACTGCCCACGCAGAAGGACATCGTGATGTCGCGCCTCAGCGGAGCCCCGACCTTCGGCCGCTTTGAGATTGCCGAGCAGTTCCCGCGGCACATGCTCAACATGGAGGAGGCCACGCAGCAGATCTTCGAGGACGGCACGCTGCAGATTCGCATGCCATTCCACGTCATGCGGCGGCCAGTGCGGTATCACCCGGCCTCGTTCTTCCAGCCGCAGGACTGCTTCGTCTGGTAATAGGAGAAAACAGTCAGGGGATAGCAGCACAGCATGTAATACAATAGGATAGGTTTTCTTTTAAGAAAAATCATAAATTTACAGCGATCTTCATCAAAGTTTCACAGGAAAGAATAACTGGTGAGCTAGACTACACTACTTGCGGAAGAAGCCGTCATACTTGCCTAACATTTCTACTTACTTAAGTACAAAAATACAGATCAACCTAGATTACATGTCGTATTTTCAGACGAAAATATTCTACTGCGAAGTCAAGATCCTCAAGATGGTCGATATTTGTTGATGGTCTCATGACAAGCGTCAACCCAATATTCCTAGGACAAGTGGTAGGACAAATTCGAATTGGAAGGTGGAACCTGAAGCAGGATACAAGGTGGATTATTGAGGTTGTGTACGCACGAAAGCTGCGTGTTCGATTGCAAACCCATACATCTATGCCATCCATCCGCTACCCAGTAGCTGGGGAAACAGACCCAGCAACTTAGCACTGGCGGCCCTGCGTGCCGTCGGCCGGGATGTACCAGCAGTGCTTGGTCTGCACGCCGCCCACCTTGGTGCTCTGGAAGTTCTCGCCGAACTGCCAGTTGTTGTCGGTCGTGTGGTACTGCATCTTGATCCAGTTCTTGGAGGCCTGGAGCGACATGAAGCCGTACTCGTTGCTGCCGTAGGTCCACAGGTTCTTGACGTACGGGGCCGCGTACGACGGGATGCCGCTGGCCGGCTCCTTCTGGACACCGCCACCAGCGCCGTTCTCGAAGAAGTGGATGCCCAGCGACTGCGAGTAGTCGTGCTTCTCGCCGTGCGTGTGGCCGTTGAGCCACACGTGCACGCCCGAGCCGCGCAGCACGTCGAACCACCGCTTCATGTTGTGCTCGGCGTAGTCGTTGTACGTGCTGTAATGGCTGTTGACGATCTTCCACGTGGCCGTGGACTGCTTGACCTGCTGCGCGATCTTGGTGCGCGCGTCATCGCCCCACGCCTTGAACTTGGCCATGCACTGGTCGAACATGGCGTTGTCGCCGCCGCAGCAGAACTGGTGGCCACGGCCGACGTTGCGGCAGGTGGCACTGTCGCCGTTCGAGTAGCTGTAGCACTGGCAGCAGATCTGCATGGCGCCGTGGACGTCGGCGTCGTTCGTGTCGACGTTGAAGATGTCGATGCTGATGCCCGTGGCCGGGTCCTCGATGCGGTGCACGTAGAAGTGGTCCTTGAGGTTCCAGCGGTTGTCGTTCGGGCTCGTGTAGGTGGCCTGGTAGTTGAACTTGTTGTCCACGGCCTGCAGCAGCGCGGCCGTGTTGGGGCAGCGCGAGTTGTTCTCGCAAATGAAGCTGGCGCCACCGTAGTCGTGGTTGCCCAGCACGTTGACCCACGGGATGGTCTTGATGTTGGCGCCGTCGAACTTCTCCTCGAACGTCTGCGTGAACTGGCCGTCGCGGCCGGCGCGGCTGTTGATGCCCGACCAGTAGAAGTTGTCGCCGTGGCCGATGATGACCTTGGGCTTGACGGCCTGGTTGCCGGCCTGCGTGTTCATGAGGCTGGCCACGACGTCCTCGGCCACGACATCGTAGTTGCTGTACGAGCTGGAGCGCGTGCAGCACGAGCTCTTGTAGGGCGTGGTGCCCCAGTCACCGATGGCGAAGGCGGCCAGCGGGTAGGCCGCCGTGGTCGGGTCCGTGGACGCAACGTTGCCCGACGGGGCCGCCGCCGGCGTGGACGGAGACGAACTCGAGCCGCCGTTGACGACACCCGACACCGCGCCGGGGTTCGACTTGGCCGTGCCCTTGCCGGCCTTGAGCCAACAGGTACCGCCGTTGTAGTTGGTCCACGTGAAGGCACCGCATCCGCTACGGCCGGAACAGATCGAGCAGCACCCGTTAGCCGAGGAGCTCTGAGCGCTGCCGACGTCGGCGCCGCTGTAGTCGACGTTCTGCTGCAGAGCCGAGCAAGTGGACGTCGCCTGGACGACACCCGACACGGCGCCGGGGTTCGACTTGGCCGTGCCCTTGCCGGCCTTCAGCCAGCAAGTACCGCCGTTGTAGTTGGTCCACGTGAAGGCACCGCATCCGCTCTTGTTGGCGCAAATGTTGCAGCATCCGTTGGCCGAGGCGCTATAGGCGCTGCCGACGTCGGCCCCGCTGTAGTCGACGTTCTGCTGCAGAGTCGAGCAGGTGGCCGCCTCCGTGACGGTGACGCCCAGAAGGGCCGCGGAGATGAACAAGAGTTTGGCACTCAGCATGGTGTTGCTGGTAAGGTTCTCAACACAATACGCGAGTAAATTGGAGAATGAGAGCGTGAGAGTTGTGGGGCCAGCGGATCAGGACGGGAAAGACTTCAGAGGGTTGGTCTGCTACGTTCCCATGTGTTGAATTTCGGCATTTTGGTGTTGGTACGTTGGGCGGGCTATCCCATCTCGTGCACGGAGGGCGGGCACTCGACGACAGATTTGAGGCAGAGAATCCAATCCATACTTTGAGTTAATCAACAGCTTACCCAGAGTTGCAAATGCACGATCAGGATCGGGGCTACGTGAGAAAAGCAGCCACATGGCGTCGGCTATAACGCCACAGACTGTGCAACACTGCTGTCGACACTGACTGCGCCACATGACGACCAGCCTCTACAGGCTTCGAACGGCAAGACGCGCGATCCACGCGATGCCACCACGGCACCAAGTTTGGATCCTCACAGAGTGCACAGGCCACCGGAATCCTCCCGCCACGACAACACTGTGATGGAGAGTTCGGGCAACCTACCGGATGTATTGCATCATGCAATGGCCACTGCCCATCGAGTCCCCCTTTGCGCCTGACGTTGAATCGGGGGCCTAGACACGAACAGTTGGGACCTTGATCGGGCGCATAGGACTGTATCGTTGGCACGATGGGGCAGTCAGCAAAAAGAGCCGTGGACTTCGACATCTCGACGTTGCGCCGGACTGGCCCGAATTTGATCTGACAGCCACCAGGAGGCGCCTTTGGCAATGGCGCCATCGCCTTCTCGCAGCGCTGACTGCCATCTGCAGCCGAGTGGATATTCCTGTCTTATGTTACTTCATTCATTTGCGGTGTGGTGCGCTCGATCGCTAGGATACAAAGGCACAGGAGAAGGATGTTATAGGGACATTCATCGTCTTGACGAGTCAGTTACGTGTATCATGTTGTTATGGAGTACCGGCCCGCTTGCAGCTTCCACATGTAGCAAGGTGCTGTCACAGCAACAACATCTCCAGAAGCAATGAAAACACGAGCTAGAATATCTGAACAACGTTGGTCGGTATTATAATACAGTAGTCGGAAAATAATTTACGGATAAATAAGTTTATTGCTGGGATTCTCAACGAATCTACAAACCGTCGTGTGAAGGATAGCTGTTCAATGAGCTCACTGCAGTCGTCGAATCTACATATTAATAATACATGTATGCATAAATATTAATACTGAGGAATTGCTAAAAGCTAGCGGGGTTGAAGCGGCTTTGAGCGCTTTCGGCGCTGTAATTAACGCGCGAAAATAATGAAACTTGCATTCAACACCTTCAAGTCACGGAAAGGCTATCTCACGACCCGAAAGACTACAGTGTCACGACAACAAGCGCGTCTTTCGGCCCGAAAGGCACCCGAAACTTTCGGGTGCCTTTCAGGTGTCACGTACGGAGACAAGCACTTCGGAAGCATCTAGGGGACGAATCTACAGAAGTAACCACAGTCGACGGTCTGTGGCTCGTGTCACCAGCGCATGCGAAGCGGACTTCCTTATTGAAATCGAGCCGCTAATGAAAAATAAAACTCGATAGCGTCAGTGACCAAAGTCTGATTTCATGCTTATGTAGATTTTCTGAGGCGTACTGCCGCTAATGCAGTCATTGAAATGTCCACGATGCATTCTGCTAGGAGCCGGACGAGCGACGTTCAGCTCGATCCCAAATGCATTTACAGGTTGGGGAACGTGTATCCCGCGGGGGCGGCCTCGCAACCCGCTCCGGGGGCGTTGCAAACCGTGCACATCTGCGAGTACAGCGAGCGACTGCAACCGTACTTGGCGCGCGCACACACGGCGCTGTTCTGGTAGCACTTGGGGTTGGCCGCGGTGAGGCTCGAGACGGCTGGCAGGGGGCTCATGTTGGGGTTGCGGCCGCTGCTGACCATCTGGTTATAGGTCGACACCAATTGGGCCGCGCGGTTCGCGTTGGCGTTCTGGTCGCCAGGGTTCTTCCAGAAGTCGATGCTTTGCTCCACCTCGAAGCCGCGGCCGGTGTTGCGGGCCTTGAACTCGATGCCGCCGGCCTGGCAGTACTGCTGGTAGTTGCTGTAGCCCATCTTGGTGATGCCCACCAGGTCGTCGATGTTGAGGTAACCCAGGATCTTGTAGCTGTACGTGCACTTGACACCGTCGGGCTGCGTGCCCATGGGGCACAGGCCGCCATTATACTGCGCGCGGCACTCGGCCGTCTTGTCGTTGCGGTACTTCTGCGCGCACGAGTTGGGGAACGAGCACCAGTAGTTGTTCGGGTACGGGGCGCGCGGGTCCGAGCCCTGCGGGTTGCAGCCGACGTTCGGGCCGATGTCCTGCACGCCGTCCAGGCCGTAGAAGAGCTTGCAGCTCTTGGGCAGGTCCGAGCCGGCGTTCGTGCACTTGGCGCCGTCCATGGCCACGAAGTCGCCGTACTCGAGCGGGTTGTGGTTCTCGTAGTACTTGACCGAAGCCGTGGGCTGCACGATGGTCATCTCGTAAAACACGACGTACTGCATGTCGTTCTTGCGGTGGCACTTGACCGACTGCTCGTTCACGTTGATGCCCTCGGCCTGCACGTACATGAGCGCGCCCTCCACGGACGCCGTGTTGACGGTGTCCAGGTTGTTCATGTACTGCTGCTCCGTGTTGGAGCCGTACTTGGACAGCCACTGGCCCACCTCCGGGTGCCACACGGGGGCGTCACCCTGGACACGGGCCTGGATGACCTTGACGGGCTTCATGCTCCAGGCGCCAGAGTTGTTGTTGTTGTTGTTAGAGGACGAGCCCTGCACAACGCCCGAGATGGCGCCCGGGTTGGACGTCGCCGAGCCCTTGCCGCTCTTGAGCCAGCAGGTGCCGCCGTTGTAGCTGGTCCATGTGAAAGCACCGCAGCCGCTCTTGTTCATACAGATCGAGCAGCAACCGTTGGCCGAAGCACTCTGAGCGTTGCCGACATTGGCGCCGCTGTAGTCGACGTTGTTCTCCATCGACTGGCAAGTCGAGGAACCGGACGAACCGGACGAGGAGGAGCCCACAACACCCGAAATGGCGCCCTGGCTGGAGGTTCCCGTTCCCCTTCCGCTCTTCAGCCAGCAGGTACCGCCGTTGTAATTGGTCCACGTAAACGCACCACAGCCGCTCTTGTTCTTACAGATCGAGCAGCAACCGTTAGCCGAGGAGCTCTGGGCGTTGCCGACATTGGCACCGCTGTAGTCGACGTTCTGCTCTAGAGTCGAGCACGTAGCGGACGAGCCCTGCTGAAGGACACCCGAGACGGCGCCGGGGTTCGAAGCTCCCGTTCCCTTGCTGCTCTTCAGCCAGCAGGTTCCGCCGTTGTAGTTGGTCCACGTGAAGGCACCGCAGCCGTTGGTGGTCGAGCAGATCGAGCAGCATCCGCTGGCCGAGGCGCTGCGGGCGTTGCCGACGTTAGCGCCGCTGTAGTCAACGTTGTTCTCCAGCGTCGAGCACGTCGCGGCCTGCGTGACGGCGCCCAGAAGGCCCGCGTAGGCAAGTACAAGCTTGGCGTTCACCATTTCGAGTCGTCCTCAGTAGATACTAGCACACGCGAGTAAATTTTAGAATGAGAGCTCTTCGGCGTCGGCGAGGAGGACGGAGACGGGATAGAGCCGAGAGAATGTTGAGCTGCTGGTGTTTCGGCTTTGGTACTGTAAGACCTGGGTAAGGCTATCCCCCGATGGGATAGATGGGGCCTTCCGCCGGCTGTAACAGAGCTTACCATCGCCAGCATGGCAAAGCACTGTGAAAACCGGTCCCAACTGGCTGACGACAGATTTGTAGCAGGTATTCGGTTCCCACTTCAACGTCATTGCAATTCGCGATTCACAAGGACACGATACGGCTTGGTACACTGAACAGTAATTGTGAAAATTAAGCACAAAAACACCGGCACTTTCTGTTATCTTCGACGCTGTGTCAGTACGTTGTTAGAAAAGTACGGAATGTATCGAATAATATACTTAGTATAGATTTTTTGACCGAGAAGAAGATATAGAGGTTTTTCAAAAATCGTTTAATAGTTTTGGAAGGAAGAGAAGATTAATTTGTGCGTCTTAGGCACCTTATCTAAAAGTATTCTTCCTTTTTCGCGCCTTTTTGTGGTACAGGAGCGTCTCCACATGACGACCAAAAACGAGACCCTTTCGAACGGCAAGACGCTGCACCGAACGCGATCCCACGCGTGTGGACTGCACCGGATTACACATTAGCGCAGACATGCCCACGACAAAATCTACTTTCAACGCGACTGGCATGTACATGTACTGCAACGCTTTCCATACACTTATCGTCGTTGGGCTGAGCTTGATGCAATAGCACGTCGTGCCCATCGTAGTTCCGCTTACGATCCGTGCGCGTTGATCGTAGGGCCAACTTGGCACGGCAGTCAGAAAATCCGCGAACTGTGCCTTCTCCCATGTCAACAACACACCGTGCGTTGCGGGGTATAGACGACGCTTGCAGCAACATCCGTGGATCACACGGGCAGTCAGCATGGAGTTGCTGAGCGGGGGCGGGACGCGCTCGAACAGCCAAAACTTCAACGTTTGCCGAGAAGGAAGTGGTGGGTGGGTCTGAAATATATCGATGGAATAACAACAACTTTACTAAACTGGCCTAGGATGCTTGCTTGTTCTTATCGCTGTCCTGACTGGATGGCAACAATAAAGTACTGTTCCAACATACTGACTTCATCCTGATTGAGTGCGCGACGAATCAACGTCAGCGGAAGCTGCCAGAGGCGCTTCACCGTCGTCGTCGTAACGAGGAATCCAGCACACGTGTGTCGCAATGCAACAGCGACTACGATGGGGGTTAGTTAGCATCGTCATTTGGGCGACGATGTTTTAGGACTCTTACGTGTTGTAGCCTTGTTATTGTCAATTCTGCCCAAATTTTCCAAAAGGGTGCGGTTTGGCTCCGGTCTTGAAATCGAGCGGCGAATCGAACTTCGTCGCTAATTGGCCAATATTCCCTGAAGTGCCCGAGTGCGCACTCCACACAGTCAATGCAAGATGGAGGAAGCGGTAACGCGGCAGCGCGTGCACCCTAGCACTGTCTATCACTGCCTCTACGCGCACATCAAGCTCGGCTATACTAGAAGCCATCTTGCCCACGTCTTCAATAAGACCGAACACACGATCGGCAATTGGCTGCAAGCCTACTACGAGACTGGAGCGTTCCAGCGTACTCGGACCACTCGAGAGAGGAAGTACATGAAGCAGCAACGGGTGTGGCTTTTTAACTACTACCAACATCATCCACTCTCCTACTTAGATGAAGCCCAGGACGCCTTCAAACGAACTCACGGCACCGAGATCTCCAAGACATCAGTGTGGCGCATCATTCACTCGTTTGGTCTGACGTGGAAGGTGTTGGAGCGGATGGCGATTCACATCAAGGAGCAGGAGGTCTTCCGTTTCGTGGAAGAGCTTAGTCACCTCGACTGGAGCCACCACAACCTCGTTTTCCTCGATGAGGTCTCATTTGACAACAGAGGGATGGTTCGCAAGCGAGGCTACGCCGTCCGAGGGAAAAAAGTTGCCATCCGCGGCGACTTCGAGAGAAAACCTCGTGTGTCGATCCTGGCCTTTATTGGTGTCAACGGCATTATCGACTACTTCAGTACGGAAGGCACTTTCGATCGGCCAGAGTTCACCAAGTGCTGTCAAGACCTGGTGCACATAGAGAGGGGGGCGATACGCCAGTATCATGGACCAAACTCAATCTGGATCATGGATGGGGCTACAATCCACCGACACCCGGAAACTATTCACTATCTACGAAGCGTCGGTGTAGTGGTGATCTTCTTGCCAGCGTATTGTCCGTTTTTTAATCCTATCGAGTTCCCTTCGGATACGTCAAGCGCTCCTTTCAACGACACTACTCGGAAGGTAGCGGGTGAGATTTGACTCCATTCGTCGTTCAAACGTTTCAACGCTTCAGAGATTTCGACATGAGCAAGGTGTTCGAGCACTGCGGTTGGAAGAAACAAGGCTACTTCGATCCTGTTGGACCTCTTTCAAGTGAGAACAAAGCCGAACTCGCTGCTAGTGAACGCAACCAAGATGAATTAGAGTTTACGGAACTTGAATCGTAAGAGTAGCTTAAACTCATCAACATGCAATCCTTTTTCTTTCGTCACTCGGCGTGCTCTGTGTCTTCGACGTTCTCCATTTGAAGGAGAGGGTCGATCACTTCGTCGCAAGCAGGAGGGGTGATGTCGCGCAGAAACCCCATGATAACACTCTTGCGCACCTCCAAACCGCGCTCATTTTCATCGAGATACTGTCCGAGAAATTCCCACCTTTGGCGCAGCTGCCGGTAGTCAGCAATTGTGGCCTCCACAACATCTAGCGCCACATTTGCCGTTCGAGTGACTTCGGCCACGTGTTGCTCCATCTGTGTATCCACGAGTCGAAGCAGATTCGCGATATACTCTGGTGGTGGTTGTTGAATAGCGGCGTCCCACGTTGACCTGTTGAGATTCCGCGTGAGATAGTTGGCCCACAGACGCCAAACAACACCTTCACCTTGGAATGTAGCCCCCCCCCCCATTGCTCTCGAAGTCTCTCCACAACATCTCGCAACGAGGTCGCAGTGGTTGCACCCGCACGATCGGTCTCCTCAGGCTGTATGCAGGCTGCGACGAATTCATCTCGATCTTGAGCTCTTGCGATCGACAAACCATACTCGTAGATAACGAGCGTCACTGTATGCCCTCGCATTTTTTGCAGCCACTGCTTCCACGCTTGTGCTGACTTGGTAGACTCCACTACCTTCTTTTTGGCCCTGAACTGCATGACACGGTCCCACTCGTCCACCTCGTGGGTCTCGACAAACCACTCGCCGTCCGTCAGCACCGCTCTGCACTTGACACGGCCGCTGAACAAGCTCCAGATCTTCTGCAGGATCTCGTCGAACGATCCGCCGTTGACAACGACGTCGTCGAGAGTCTCGGCCGACGTATCGCGTTGGGCGATGGTCGCCTTCACGATTGGCCGCAATAGCAACTGGTACAGATGACTTGGAGCTGCTTGGTCTGCTTCTGTTGTTGCTTCGTGCATGCTCTCAGGTCGTGGCAGCGACGTGACCACTCGCGATGTAGCTGGTGCTGCTGGAGGTGCCGCCAACAGACCAACGGATCGTGCAGGAGAAGCAGTAGCGGGTGCTGCCGGTGCTCGTGTCGCTGGAAGCTGCTGCGGCCGAAGCACTGCTGGGGTCGCTTGTAGTGGTCGTGTTCCTTGACCACTGACGTCTGTTTGCGATGGAGATGCGCGTGGAGCCACTGTGGGCTGCGAGGTCGACGGAGAGCTGCCTGGCGTCGGGGTGCGGCTTCGCAATGGGTACGGCGAGACACGCGTAAGAATGGGCTGGCGTGGCGACCTCCGTGGCGTGGCCACCATGGTGCAATTCCAGAACTGCAAAGCTGCAGCTTCCGGTTCCCAAAGGAAAGCCTCTTATTACGCATATATTTCATTCCTTATGTTAGGTTGGTCGATTGGCAGGTCGGTTTCGCTGGATCGATTCAACCAATCGCTCTCGGCAATTTTGAATCGAACGCACAATACAGTATTTGTACATGTGCTCCACACACACGAGAAAAGACTAATTTCACGTACAATTCCGCTGAAAACCACGTACCAAAGGAGAAACGGATGATTTCCATGTACCTCGGCTGAATTGCATGTGTTCGCTGTTAGATCGAAGTTCAGAGTAAATGTTACCATTGTAAAGTGCAACGAAATGTATTATAAAGCATGCTTAGCAGTTTCTTCCACTGCTACTGTCCCGCAACCGCGACGTCAAATACGCGGCGTTGACGGCCTTCGCCAAGTCTTCGATAGCTAGGTGTTCAACAACGCAATTGTCGAATGTCACTCGCCAGAAAACACTCCATTTACGTTTGCCCACGATGACGTAGTTGGATTACTGCATCTCGCCGTCGACTGTTTCTTGACATTCTTTCGAGCACTTCCAGTTGATTGCCTGTCCCGGTTTCTCCGTCAG